CGTCCTCGAGGAACCCGGCAGGAAGGTCCAGCCCAGGAATAGTGTGATCGTGGGTTCTATCAAGGTTTAGTTAGCTCACATATAATCCCTACCAAGGCAAGACGAAGTAGGAATTTACCCAGCTGTGGCGTAGACGGCGTGGGTGCCGTTACCGCTGAAGCCAATTGGCCTTACTCCACGCTTATCTGTTGCGCTGTATTGGAATGCCTGGCCGGCGGCGTGCTGGCTGTACCAGACGGCCTCAGGCTTGCCGTTGCGGAAGCGGATCATATTGTGTTCCCTACCCGTCGTCTTATTAGTTACCTAGTCCGTACTGTGTCAACGGTCTACAGCGAATGGACATACCAGTCACCAACATGATCGCCGAATTCAATGCCCAGCACTGTGTTGCCCTGGTTGTACCTGTTTACGAATCCCATCAGCATCAGCTTCTCACTTTGCAGGTCCACCGATATGCAGTGCAGTGCAGGCTATAGTTGTAGGCTCATGCTTACGCATAAAAGTAGAAGTAAAATGCATCAACGGTCTTGCCCTCGTCTCCGTGTTCCCGGACCACTATGACAGACGAAACGGCACCCTCGGTTTTGCCGTCCTTGTTTGGCTTGACACCTCTAAACCAAGCCGGGAGAGCCTGGATGCCCTCCTTCGACGTGAGACACACCTTGTCTCCGCCCAATTTGTTAAGCTGGTCAAGGTTGTCGAGCGTGATGTCGGTCGGGGCATTGGGGATGGCAACATGGTTTATCATCGGAACAGCGTTCTTCAGCTGCGCTCCGATATCTGACGGCTGGTACGGATCTTGCGAGTGAATCCATATCAACGGAGCTAGCCTTCTCGTCAGTGACTTGGGACAAAAAAAAGATAAAAAACATTTCCAATGAGAAGAGACCTACCATATTTAATAACATAGTCCGGCACTGCGGCAGCGGGCGCGGGAGCAAGACATTGCTCTGCAGCGATATAGACCGACGCAGCCGAGATGTTCCCTATCCCCAGGCCGAGTATCAACGCTGCCAGCGCGGGCCAAGCGCAATGCGACGAGCCACATTTACCCATCCTTATCGATCTAGTTCGTTATCGTCTGTCCCTCTTTTGCTTTTCAAGGTGCGCTGGAGCCGGTAGAAGTTCTTCTTCTGTTTATATATACGGAGTAACAGACTGAGAATGTGCTGCCCGTGGTGGCCGCAGGATAGGATGGGTCGTGATGGCCTCAGCAGATCAGCGACGGCGGACAAGGCAAGGACAGGCCGGACTCGCTCACGTTAACCATCGCATCACATCACGTTGTGCTGCGCGCGGCGGTCTATGGCAGCGTGATAGATCGCCTTTTGGGCCAGCGATCCTTTCGTGCGCCAGCACCGGCCATCGTGGGTTGCGGCATCCTTGTCTCGGGGCTTGCGTCTAAATCTCTAAGTCTCTTCAGATCGCGGGTCCGGCTGACGGTCTCGGGGGGCGGTTCCAACTGTAAATGTGGTGGTGGTGCCTGGCCGGGCACATCGCCACCACCGCTGCGACGCCAGAAGAGTCAACTTTTTCGCATGACAGGCAGCAGCTCTCATCGAGACAGAAAAGCCGTCGATAAAATTCGATTTCAAGGCCGAATTTCAGGAGTGTTTGATGTCTTTTGTGTCGATGTAGATACAATTTCCGCTTTGGGACGCGAAAGAGCGTGATTATGAAAGATAATGATGACAAATGATAAAAATCACATGAAAAGGATAAATATTATTCCTTCCCGTGTTTTTGCTGAATAATATATTACTCATCTTAATTATTCAGCTTTTCTTTTTCTTGAGGTCGTTGGTGGGAAATGAAAAGGAAAAAAGAGAGAGAGAGAAGACGGAGGTAGAGGAAAAAATATAGAAGACGGGGGGAGGGGGGACAGGCAGACGAAGGGGGAGCGGGAGGAGGCGACGGTGAAGACTTCGCCATCCTTCAGCGTCGCTTCTTTTTTGCATGTCAGCTTTGGCTACTTCAGCAGCGACCAAAGCGGCGGTGGTACGGCACCATGCAGCGTGCGAAGCAACAACTGATGACATGAGAAGTAGCCGGCAGCTTTGGGATGTGATGGGATACGAAGCGGGCGTTGCTGTTAGCCTGGATGGCAATGTTAACCGGGCCAGTCAATCAAGCTGGCGAGACGGAGGCTACGGGTGCCCTCTGTTTGGCTACTGCTCAGAAGAACGCACATAGGCTCGCGGGATATGACATGAGCGACTTTGTACTTGACTTATGCATGCTATGGGATGTGTTTGTGTCTACATATGTGTATGCTGTGCATTGCTAATTCACATACTTACAAAGATTCGATAGTCCCGGTGATCAGCATGGACGGCCAATACGCACACATCCCGACTGTATACATGTCTTATTTAGGATAATGGATGGGCGTAGGCCAGTGGGCCAGGAACAAGATGCAGTTGGGATGATAAGAAAAAAGGTATCATGGAATACCACCTGCATCTTGCACTTCATGTTCCGTCCATCTTCCCGGACACTGCACGAAGGGAAAAGGGGTGGGTGGGGGGGACGGAAAAGAAGGCGGAGATGGATGCATGGTTACATGTGTGTAAGAAGTAACAGCTGCCGGGCGTTATTCGTGGTCTGGATTGTTATTTCCACAAGATAGTGCAATAGTACATGGACATGACGGCGTGGTTGTTTGCGGGTACACGGGCATGTACATGTACGGAGTACTCAGTAGTGATATGGGGTATCCATGGCATTTTTAGGGAGTGTCGTGCATTCTTAGCGGGAAGGCTATCCTGCCACTGAGATAAGGGTGCCACATTAGAGAAAGGTAGTGGCATTTCCTTCACTCCCGTCAATATGGAGCATGTAGGGTTTGAGGGGGTGCGACAAGCTGAAGAAGCGTAAATCTACTCCTCTTTTTTCACTTCTGGAGTGTAGCTCAATGTACCCCAGACTCACTCTAACTCAACCACCACCCCCTCCATTATCCCAATCCTGTGCTAGGTGGAATTTTTCTCGTTTTCTATAAAGAGTCGGTGTGTCCGCTGTGGGCTAGAACAGTCATCCAAACGGCGTTGGCACGGGTAACTTCCGTTCGCCCGTCTTCTTGGGTCAGCCAACGCAAGTCGCACTCCATCAAATCCCTCTGGAATGCTAGGGTACCGAGCAGCAGGGTTGCCAAAAGATTGAATGGTAGCGAACAGCGCTAGGCCAGGAACAAGTGGAAAAAAGAAAGCAAGATGCCTCCCTTAGTTCACAGCTTGATTTTGGTGCTTTTGTTTTGCTTTCCCGATGGCTTGCAAGGCCCTCCTTAACCTCCACCGTCACGCGTCCGCCCACTTGGGCTGACAGGTACGTACGGCCAATAAAAGATTTGTAGCTACATTGTAGCCATCAAGGCCAATCCAGCCAATGCTAATCATCCGGAATGGCGGGAATACAATAACCTAATGTCCGGCTATCATCCAGAGTATTTGTTCTTCGAGCCACCCTTCCGGTTTCAATAGGCTAAACAGGGCTGTACCAGGTGGCCAGCCAGTACCAACAGATAACGAGCTCTCTCGCAACACGGTCTTGGAATCGGGCTTGGAGTTGGGCTGGACTCGTACAGAATTCTTTTATCCGGCTGCTTGCTTGGGTATTGATAGGCCAATCAGGACTGAGGTGGGTAGATGGTACATGTCAGATAGAAGACGGATGGTTATGCATTCGGCAAGTATCCTAGCGATATAGGCAGCCTTTCGAATCTTCGCCACGGGTGCAGACAGCCGCCCATCAAGGAAGGGTGAGGTGGACGGATGTTGTCTACAGGAGAAGCCTTCTCTGATCCTAGCCCGGAACGTCCAGCACTATCAGACGCAGCTATTCGATAGCTACGATATACGGTATCATGTCGATAATACACCCTGGCTGTCGATTAACGATGAGCAGGAGAAAAGGGCCCGTGTGTATGCGTAACTATGGATGCACCAGGGGTTGGTTGACTGACATATCATTCTCTAGTTATAGTACCTGATTAGGGTTATGGAACTCGGTAACTCATTACCCACCTGCTGTTGGCTAGGTATATTCCGGCAGCTCATCGTAGCCTCTTTTCTCGTTTGTCGTCTGTAGAAGGTGTCTTCAGTTGTCTCTTGTTTGCCGTTGCATTCGATGGAGTTAGACCTGATTATTTAATCCGCCTCGCTGGAAGGTTTCTCGGCCCGAGCCCAAAAGGGTAATCCGTTAACCTCAACCTCAACCTCAACTTTCAACGCCAACTTCAACTTCAACTTGAATCGCACCAACCACGCCAGATTCAGCGTTTTCTTGTCTTCAGGCATGCGGTATCAACATACGGCTACCTACCTGCGGTGCAGAATGTCACCGTTAACAGCTGTCAGCAAACATAACTAACGAATGTGAAACGAACACGAAGAAAACGTCAAGTTGATGCAGGATGCCTGTTGCTAACCAGTTTGAATTAAAATGGCCCTGTCTGCACAATTCTTGCATGTACGGAGTACACCTAGCCATAAGAAAGCGAACCGAGAGCCCGAAGTGCTGGGGTCTGAACTGAAAACTCATAATGAACTCAATGTCCTTAGACGTGCGTCTTGTCCGGATCGGCCGGGAGCACCAGGTGGCCTTAAAATTAGTCCCCTGGAGAGACACAAGCTCTCCAGTACCCCTCCTCGCAGCCCAACGCAGAAGACGCCAATATATGAGTTTAATGACAAAAAGAAAAAAGAAAAGAAAAGACGAGGAACAACAGACGAGAGGGAATAAGAAAATATTCCTCCATCTTTGTGAACTGCGTCAGTCCAAATTATACATATACTATGTATACTCATGCGTGGCATACAGAGTATACACGCGCTAACTATGTATAGCTCGATACACCTTTTTTTCATCCAGTACTAACCATTCTAGCACCGATCGTGGAAATTTTCTTGTCTCTGCTAGGTGGGCGAGAAAATAGCGTCCCAGCTAGACCCCGATATCCTAGAGTACTCAAAGAAATTACTCCGTACTACAGGGGGGGACTAAAATCCATACGGAGCATATGGAAGCTGTTCTTCTCAGCATAAGCCAAACATGAAGTATGATGCCTTGATCATCCCCAATATAATAACCTTCTTAGATGGGTCGATTCTGGACCAAACCGTTCCCATTCCAGGCCACCACCACACCCTAACATGCTCCCACTTTTACCTTTTTCCAGGGGTTGCGAAAATAGACAAGAACCAGCCAATCCTGACAACAACTGTGAAAAGAGACACTTCCTGGTGGTACCGATATTTTGATAGTGCAAGGCGCAAGGTATGGATCTCTTTCCTCGTAAGAGGGATACAGCGCGGATGTTTTCTTTTTTCTTTCTCACACGCTCTCTTGCCTCGTCCATTCGATCCTACTTCTGGTTTCGCTCTCTTGACGGAGTGCCACTGCTTTGATCAACCACGGATCAACGATCTTCGTGGTAGAATTCTGGGCTTATTGCTTTTGCCGCATTAAAACCGTTAAGAAAAGTGGACGAATTTTCTATTCATCTCCATGTTAACTGCCTGAGCTTTGAACTGTATTGTCAACTATCCCGCCTTTTGAGATATTCATACTCCGTATTCTTTCCCCTCCTCTTCATTCATCTTTCTTTCATGACCGATCACATCTGCAATCACCCGGATTCGGAATAAGTCATTAGCTACGTTTGGTCTTGCCGCGGTAGCCCACCGTTTCGTGATACTTCAGGGGCCTTTTCTCCTTTGCGTCTGCCTGCGTTCTCCACAAAGGCAATCAATTGATCAAGCAATTTCCCCGCTGGAAACTGAGTATCGATATATTTGGGACTCTTCGTACCCCTGGTGGTTTTACGGAACATTCCTCTAAGTTAACGAACTAACTAGCTAACTAGTGGTCCTATTGTAAGTTTGTTATTTTCAGTTTGCTTTTTCGCTCATTTCTTTTTATGTGCTCTGCTCTGCTTTGATTTTCAACTGGGTGCGAGGGCACAGTATGTTTTTTCTTTTACTTTGTTCATCAGTTCTCCATTTTACGCTTTCTCTTCCATCGCGTGTTTCTATTTATCTTTTGCCGGCCTTGTGGTACCTCCGTGCTCTCTCGTTTTGCCCAATTCTTTTACACACCGAGACATACATCCGCTCAGTCCTATACCTATCGATTTACAGATCCTAGTGAGAGGCTGAAGCGGCCAGACCCTTACTATATCCCGCACTGCAATCAGAACACATAGCTAATTTTCTCCTCCTTGCTCAAAAATTCAAGTTGTTTTGCAACTACTTGTTATTGCGCTTGTTCAACTGCTGCCCTATTCACTTTTAACGTACAAGTTCACGGTAGTGCTCACATATATCCAGTCTGGGCCCGGCTTTCTCGCTGCGTTTGCTTTGCCCCTTTTCTTTTCTCTTAGCTGCCGGCTATTCTTCGGAAGCTTGAAGTCCCACGTTTCTGAAAGGAGACCAGTCAAACGCAGAAAACAACAAAAGGAATAAGGCCAAAAGCAAAGGAAGGCATCTAGAGGTTGGTCAGACTCTATTGGAAGGCTGCAGCTGCATGGAGGTGTGTGACTTTTGACAGATAAGGGACGGACGCTCGGGAGTGTGCGTTGTGGCGGCGTAGCATACATGGCCGCAGCACAGAGCCCGTCCGATTTCAAAACATACTGCGATACCCCTCTGAGATTGTAAGACCATCTACCTCTTTACCGGTGATGCTACTATATTATGTCGTTCGTGGGAGGTCAACTTTCGTTTTGAATCGGTTACAACCTACTCAAAAGACACCTCCATCACCATCCAACTTAAGTCGAGGAACTTTAAGACTGTTGTCTCATCGAATCTTCCGGTCTCTTGACCTCTCAGAGCCCACTTTCTTACTGTCTTTGTCGGAGCATGGTTGATCGCTCTGTCATATCAATAGCTCCTGTACCCATTTTCCAAAAGATGACGCGACCACCAGCTCAAACTCCTTCACAATCTTGCCTCACGCTAGGGATAGAAGTCGAATTTTATGCTGCCCTTAAGGTTCCTTCTATTTGCAGGGAGTATATCCGTGAAAGCATTACAAACCTGTTAGGGGACCGCCTACAACAACTGCGACTATCTGGTCCTGATGGCGTCGGCTCCACGTTCGAGGTCGTCGACTCAGACTCAGAGGATGGCCAGCATGAAAGCAAGTTTGTCGATTACTCCCACTGGAATTTGACTACATTTGCTACAGCACAGCCCCGGAATTCATTTTGGTTTAGCGGCTGTGAGAATACCCATGTCTCTCAACCCCCTGCATGAATATTTGTCAATGAATTGGCCCTTTGACTGATAGGTATATTAGATGGAAGTCAGCCTATAGAAATTATATCCCCTCCATACTGGGCTAGCACTACCCATTGGGAACTGGACCTTCAACGGATATTTTGTTGTAGGGTTGGCAAGTTTAATCCTATAACGGAGCAAAAGCTACGTCTGTTCCATGAGTTGAACCGTACCACCAGCATTCACGCACACGTCGGCAACGGAGTTGGCCCGGGATCCTGTTTTCCATTCCATACGATACGAAATTTGGCAATGATACTCTTAGTATACGAACCAGTAATAGATCAATTGCTCGATGCAGAATTATACTCTTTCCATACGCTCTTTAACTATTGCGATAACTCTCAGGAGGTATGTCATGCGCTTCCTTTTCCTTCATCTTTCACCGCCAGTTTTCCTATCTCAGATGGTAGCTAACCAATATTGATCTCAATCTAGCCTCAATCCATATCATCCACTAATAACCCATATTTCCAGCCCCCAAACCTGCCAGCAAAGTCCGACAGACAGGTGTTAGCACGCCACCTCTTTAACACTTGCACGGATATTCGATCAGTGATACGAGCAATGAGTTATTCACCACTAGACGAAATCTTGGCTGCGAATCGCCTGCGGTATTATAAGTTCAACTTCAACCCTTTGCTTGACTCTTTGGATGCACCACTGCCTGAACCTAAACCTAAGCCGGGAGCAGTGGTGGATAAGGAGGCTTCGAACGGGCATACTGACGCCACTATACCAGCATCTACACCTAAGTCGCAGCCTTCTTATCCAACCCCCAAACGAAAATCTCCGACAGTTGAGTTTAGGCAGCAGATTGGGACGATGGACCCAGACACGATGATCTACTGGGTTAGGTTTCTGGCGGCCTTAGTGGAATTCTCTAGCAAACTTAGTGACCAGGCGGTCATTGAGTTTCTTGGGCTGGAAGGTATCGATATCGATTATTCCACCTCCTCGAGCGGGGACGAGTCCCTGGATGAGGAGCGACAAACTCCTTCTGTTACCATTAATACTCCTACAAAATCCTCAAACTCTCTCTCTGCCCTCGCGCTACTCACAAATAGGCAGCCTGTCGGGTCTCTCTGCCGCATTCTCACTGCCATGGATTCCTTTATGATGGATCTGGATCGTGAAAACGTTCGGTATTGGAGACGCAAGGTCTGGCCATAAGTTAATACCCAACATCTGTCGGCTCCTGCTGCGTGATGCGACCTTTTCAATTGTCCTTCTTCGGCCCCCGGCCCGCCCCTCCAAAACCGGAATATCTTGTTATAACCATACTTTCGCTCGATGTCACCAAGTAAAAGGTGAAATTCCTGGAATATCAACTGATACTAACTGTCTCCTTTGTTATATTCTTCTTTATGTCGTTCCGAAATTAGTTACAAGGGAAGCCGACCGGAGGATCCTCACTGGCAACTAAATTTAAGCCCGCCTTCAGAGAAATCCAAAGAGTTGGTGTTAGTGCACCAACAAAATATACGACGCCAGAAGTGACTTTGAACTCTACATCGAACAATACCCAGATATAGACACCGCAAACCTATGGGTCTGTTGACTGTTGAGATGTTACGCCTAGCAGTTTACTCGAAATCATCTTGATTATACCCGCCCCCTACATCACCCCTGGAGCCAGTTAACTACCCAGCTAAAGCGAAAAAGTGCTGAATATCCAAAAAATACGCTAGATCAAAGAGTGATAGATATCCCGTTGTCTGGTCAAGACTGGCTTGTTGGCTTGTTTGGGCAGGAATTTGGTATTAATGGCTACTGCGCATCTAATATTTCCATTACGCCTCCCGTTAGTTCTATCTTGATGGCTTTTAGTCACTCTCTCTTTTCTTTCTTTTATTTTCAATGACCCACTCGTTTTACAGTATCCACGAGTTTATGACATGACCTCTCTTTCTGAATGGGGATGATTCAATATGGAGTGAAACCATTATTGGTTTACACGACATGATGGGAGGAATAATGATCTAATTTGAAGCTTTTTTATTTCTCTTTAGTTAGGAATATCTTCAACATTCGGCCATATCGCTCCTCACTGCTAGTCTTGTACGCTTGAATTGAAAGAGCGGGATTAAATGGGATATTTTTGTGTTTTCCGCAAGATTTATCTTCCTCTACTATGTATACAGGGTCTTACTTTGTACGTCCTGTATAGATATAGCCCGAAATTATAGTCTCATGATACCGATTTGACCATGTATTGCCATTGTACAGCCTCATGCCACCGAAAATCATATCCAGGCACCCCGTAAGAATTGGTAGGTGGCGTACATTCTCTTCACCCTACGCGTTTACCCATCATCCGGCGTAAAGTTTGTCGAATATACCGCGCCTTGCTGCATCGAAGAGGACAAATAACGTATATGTAGCACCACTGCACATCGATCTTTGCAATATAGGCTGCCTCAGGCTTGTAATGATTGTAGCCTTAACAGGCTAGATAATGCCATCTGTAGTACGGCATACCTTTCCTTCTTCCTGCTTTCGGTGGTGTGTTTCTCTCTTCTCCCGGTTAATGGAAATGTTTCCGGCTGGCAAACATTTGCTCTTCGAATCGGATACGATTTGGCAATACAATATCTCCATGTATCACGTATTGTAGTGCTGGCTCTACAAGGACTATCAAATTCTGAGAAACGTCTCTCCATCCTTGCTGGATTGGAGGGGACACAACGTAGCCGGAATGATCCGGAGCTTTCAGATAGGCCTATGGGAAGTGTTTGCTGTATATGATACACAGACAACCTCAGCCAGCCTGCTGCAATGCTGTGCAGTTTAGATTAAGATAATCTCAAAAAAATTCGGGGGTTTATTCCCATTGCTTTCTTTTTCTTCTCTTTCTCTAAAAGGTCGTCTGCAGAGGTACGATGATCTGCCTGAACAGATATTAGCAGGCTTTCTCAGCATGAGAGTACATTGAGTCCTCGGATCGCTGAAGTGTTGAGCAGTTCGCAATTTGCACCTGACGCACGACATAAGCATCTTTCAGCGTTAGGTCGAAAGTACAGGATGATAAGAAGAATTAAACCCCTGGGCTGTATCTAGGAGCATGGCGGGGGGGGGGGGGGGGGGGCGCGCGTAGATCTCTTTCGCATTCTTCATTCTGACTCGCATTTGCGATTAGCCGACTAGCTTTCCGTTAACATGAAGGAGAGAAAATGGAATGGGATACTCAACATCGAGTATTGGCCTTCCAAAGTTATGTTACTACACATGGGGGATATGATTACCTCGTATCCACGCCGCAATCTCTACCAAGGCGCTTTGACAGAGATATGGCCATTTTCATCAATGACTTTCCCGCGGTCCCATTCCCTACCTTCCCCTTTCTTAGCCCACTTAACAGTCTCTATATCCTTGTTATCATTCGCATCCAGACCAGCAAAGGATTTGTTTGCTTCCCATTTCTCCACTATCCTATCGTCGAACCCAGCCTGTCGTAGTCGTTCCGCACCCTTCCGTTTCCATAACTCACGATCCCGCAGTGCTTCTAACGCCATATCCCAGTCGTCATTCGTATGTTTGTCAGTTTCTTTTGGGTTGAAAAGGCCTGGTACAGGGCGGATGCGCCCTACATGGTCACCCTTGGTATCATGGTCGTCTTCGGGATGTACGTCCAACGTTGGATCATAGCTTGATGAGAAATGGGCGTCTATGTTACTCGTATGTGTGCTTCTGTAAGCCCCACGGCCACGAGAACGGACAGGCTGGCTACTGTCTGTGGTAGCAATTGGTGGTGCAGGGCCAATAAGATTGCTCAGGGGGTCTGAATCGTCGGAGTACGTGCTGCTTTTACCACTTGGTGACAGATGCCTGCTTCCGGCCTCCTCGATATACATTCGTGGGGTTGACAAAGCTGACTTCTCATCGATGCCAGTTTGGGTATCTGCGCGAAATTTGTGACTCCTATCCTCTGCGTGCTTATACTTTTCAATATTCTCCTCTTTCTTCTCACTGTGTCGCCTTCGGCGGTAAGTCCTGTTTGGGGATTTCGACTGACTACGAGACCTTTCGTGGTGATGGTGGGATCTCCTGTGACTCCTACTCCGATGGGAGACTGACTTTCGACTCCGGCTCGTCTCTGCATTTTCATAGTCATAGTTTGGTGATGCTTGCCTGCGGTGATGCCGGCTTTGACGATCCTGGTCGACTTCTCTGCGGTGCCGACTCAGCCCAGATCCCCGCACTGCATCCTCTGAATCCGAGCCCTCCTCTCGATGATGCCGTTTCCGTGACCTCGATATTTTGTCGTAATCATCATCTGAATTTTTGCACTCCCTTTTCCCCTTTCGAGAACGACTTGTTCCACCGCGGTGACGGTGACGGGGACTTTCCTCGTTTTGATCCCATCGCTCAGAAGATTCGACTCTCCGACGTTTGTGTCCCCCATCGCCTCGTCCATCTAATTTTGAAGACCTAGTTGGTTTATCTCTTCCATCCCGTAAGCTCCTCATTCTCTGTCTCGCCTCCTCCTCTTCTTTCCGTTTTAAATTCTCATTATGGCTGTCTGTTTCGCGGAGTATGTGTTTTAAGAATCGTGTATTGGGTTTGGGAGCGCTATTGCTAGATCTATCGTGATACACGGGTTAGATTGACGTTCTAAGGATAGAGCTACTTGCAACAATACCGTTTTGATGGGCCGTATACTCCAAGAGCAGAGTATCTCAACGAGCAGTCCCGCGCGTCTTTAGCGAGGAGTTGGGCAACATAGTCATCATCATTGTACTCCGCATTTGTTATATCGCTATTCCTAGGCCTTGACATGATTTCCACGTGTATTGCTAGTCGATTTATCAACTTCTTATTTGTCTTGGTCGTGGGTGTTGGACTCCTAAGGCTGGAACTTTTTGATATCAAGATAACGATGACTAAGCATGTGATCAAACAGTGCAAACAAACTTGTTACTTTTTGTTATCGCGATAAGCTTAATTACCCAAAATGTTTATCTTGACTCCGCGATATCGATTGAGACGACGAAGCAGCAGGCTAAGATCCGCAGGAGCATTGAATTCGATGTGGGTGGTTATAAACAATGGCTGATACTGTTTCCTCTGATGCGCTGGCGCAGATTCATGCTCTAGACAAAGATATACCCGAAGACGCTCTGGCAATTATTCGAATCAGCGAGCCTATTGGCACCTCGGACGGGAACACAGCAGCAGACCGGTCGCCCTCAAAGCGTACCTCTGACGTGTCCACGGATGCGTATGATAATCCAACACCAGCGACCTTAGAAGCAGACTTAACGCATTATAAGGTACGTTCTCCCTTGCAGAAGTGGTAGAATTCAGTGGTTAGTTGACAATAGGTTCAGGAGCTATTCTCAAAGTTGCGATTTTCCTATCTTGAACAAGTCACAAAAGAGAAGTTTCTGCGTGCTATTGTTGGTGACCCACCGCTAGTTGTTGCGCATAGCGACAATGTCGAGCTGGAAGCGGAACTTGCACAAGTAAAAGAGGAGTTGCAGCGGCGGAAAGAAGAGGTTAGGATATCAGTAGAGGAGATGGAAAAACTTAGCAGAGACTTAGCCAGAAGTAAACACTCAGAATTCCCTCTCATTCAAAACTAGTTGAATTCAGCTAACTATTCTCCGTAACCCCAGGGTATGAAAACGTACAGTTACAAACCACGCAGCTTTCCGAGTTGCCAGCGTCGATTGCGAATCTTGAAGAGATAATTAGCAAACTGCGAGCTGCTCAGTCAGCACAGCTTCAAGAGCGTTCCTCTTCATCTCCATCTCAAAATCTCCCTCTTGAAGCTACTCTACGACTTCTGGCGAACAAGGATGCTGAACTAACAGGTTTAAAGCGAACATTGGCCTCCTCAGAAACGGCATTAGTTCGTAAGACAGGAGAAGCTGAAGCATTGGAGCGGGAGCTGGCTGTGTTAGAAAGGAAGAGAAACGAAGTTGTTGCGCAAGCTAAGGAGGCGCAACGACGGAAACTTCAGGGAGAGAGTGACGGGCTTGAAGAAATGGGGCGATGGTATGCAGGGGCAGAGCAAATACTAAAAAGCTTGGTATAACTTTGCTCTTAAACATAACTGCTGGGGCTGGGTTTGGTATTTGGACTATAGATTTAGGAAATTGACACAAGTCATGTATAAAGGGAAACGGTCGCTATTGTATATTGAATGGTTTGATCATAACTCGTATTTCATGATATACATGGGAGTGTTGTGGATAGCGACATCCATTTATTATTTTGCTTTATTTTGTATCCATTTTTTATCTACTCCTCGTCCTCCTCCTCCTCCTCGTCATCACCCTTCTCGGCTGCCTTCATCTTCTTGCGCTTAACGCGGCCAGGGCGACCACCACCAAGAGGAGAGGTGAGGGAGAAGTCAATGTGCTTCTGGGAGTCGAGACGGACAACGAAGGATGGGACGTTGACGATTTGCTTGCCAACACTAGTTATAGATGTTAGAAAGAATCCAAGTACAAATGCGTTAAGGTAACACGAGTGCATACCGGATGTGTCTCTGCTTGATGAGAACACGAGCGTGGTGGATGGACTTGGCCAATCCAAGTCTGTAGACGCAGGTCTGAAGACGGCGCTCCAAGAAATCCTCAATCTTAAGAGCAAGCACGTAATCGAGCTTCATGCGGGACTCGTCGAGCACACCGACACGGACAAGTCGTCGAATCAAGGCGTTACCCTCGAAAAGACGCTTGGGGTCCTTCTCATCAAGAGTGAGAAGCTCACTTTATTAATATTAGCCTCTGTTTCCCCGACACAGATAACACACAAGACCCAAGAAACCATACCGAGCAGCACGACGGATCTTGGACAGAGTCAGGTTGACACGCCACACCTCACGCTTGTTGCGGAGGCCATATTCGCCGACCAACTTCAATTCGGAGTCACTAGAAACAGGCGAAAAATGCGCGGGTTAGGAACAGTTTGCACCAACGACATAAGCAAAAGCAAGCTTAATTGCTCAGTGGCCGGGAAGTACTAACAGACGTGCCGACTCGAATGCTGCAAAGAAGAGAATATATTAGCACTCCAGGCCAGTAATTTATGCAGTATTTCCAAATCGCAACTGCGAGGCAAGCTCAATACTTACGACGACGTGGGACCTTGTAGGTCTTGGAGTATGCGCGCCTGCAATCAACAGAGACATGTTAGCACCGCACCCAGCTGTCTCAACCTCCGTATCTCTCATCGGCAGGGGATATCAACGTACGGAGCCATGGTGGATTAGTTGTCGAAGGCTGAGCTGCACACCAGAACTTGTCGATGCGAAAAGGAAGAAGACGAAGAAGGAACAAAAAGTTCGAGAGCTTTTTTGGTGTTTCTGTATGTCGCTGACATAAGCATAGTCGCTTCCCCCGTTTGGGCGAAAAGCTAGGGCTGCAGCCCTAGCCGCCCGAAAAGCGCACGCTAAGCGAAAAAGAAGTTTGCGACGTCGAAGATAATCTCGAGCAGCGCAGCAGCAACTTCACCAGGCTCGATAAACTCCCAGCAACGACAAAACCCTTCATTCAACCGTCAAGATGGGTCACTCAGCCGGTTTGAGGGCGGGCACTCGCGTACGTTTGACCCTGCTTTTGTTGCGACCCCATGGACGGTGCAGGCGGAGCTGACGATGTTATGAATAGTATGCCTTTTCTCGCGATTTCAAGAAGAAGGGTGTCATCCCGCTGTCCACCTACATGAAGATCTACCGGTACAGCCTTCGAATGATATATATACGGTTAATACTGGCCGAGTTGTCATGCTAATCTGATATGTTTTAGTGTTGGTGATATCGTTGATCTCAAAGTCAACGGTGCCGTTCAGAAGGGGTTAGTTGACCGTCAATTCCCTCCAAGTTGATCCATTCCATTCGTCCCAATTATACGATGCCCTGGCCCGACATCAAGAAGACAAGAGATGAGGAAGAAAAGAATAAAGCGACGGCAGGATGCTATGATCGGGAATTGGAAGCGGACCGTTCGATAATTGCAACTGGTTTACTAAAACGTTTGCGTTTTCTAGTATGCCACACAAGGACTTCCACGGAAAGACCGGCGTCGTATACAACGTCACCAAGTCCGCCGTTGGTGTCATAATCTACAAGCGCGTCGGCAACCGATACATCGAGAAGCGAGTAAACGTCCGCATCGAGCACATCAACCACTCCCGATCCCGAGAAGAGTTTCTCAACCGTGTCAAGGAGAACGCCATCAAGAAGCGCAAGTCCAAGGAGGAGGGTGTCCACGTCCATTTGAAGAGACAGCCCGTCGGACCTCGTGAGGCCAGAGTAGTGAGCCTGGAAGGAAACGCCCCAGAGACCCTTGCTCCTCTTCCATACGAGACGACTATTTAATTTAAGAAAGCAAAAAACGAAATTATTGAAAATACCACTACCACTTTTTCTCTCTGCTGCTTGCCTCAAAGTTCAAAAGCCTGGGTCCAGAGGGGGTTTCTCTTGTTCTATAGGTTTTTGTTTTTTCAAGGTTGTTCTACGGAGCATAAGAGAGGATAATATCATATCTTTCTCCCTTGTTGCTGTAACGGACGTACTGGAGCCATTACATCGGCCGTTGATTGGGAATAAGGCACTCATGATATACATAAGGCCCTGCGCCATATTAACGATTTGATCCCATATCCTCTGGATTACACTATGGTACCTATTGTTTCTCCCCTGGCGTAGGTGTATAAGTTCCATGTCAATTTATCATGTAGGCTTTTGTGAAGATAATCAAAATCTACATAGACCGTTGAGGCACTTGGTAATCATGAAATATATTCCTCTCAATAATTATAAAGATACTGGCTTCGTCAATCATCAGTCGCCTCTGTCCATGATTAGATGCCAAAGGAAAGCAAAATAAGTAACCCCAACAGAGCAAATACCATCATCAAGTAACCGGCCAGTCACGGCTCCTCGTTTTCTACATGAAAGCCCGAACTCTTAACCAACTCCACGCAGAAATCAGCCCATTCGGTCTTCTTTTCATGGGCCCCAGCGCCTCCAACCTCGATAATCTCTTCCTCGATATGGTCCTCTATGAACCGGCCGTATTTACGACGGTACTCGGACTTGACCTTCTCCAAGTGTCGTGGTTCCCAGTGCAATCGAACGAGACGAGAAATAAGAAGCTCGGCACGGTCACGTCCAGTGCCAGACTCTGTGATAGCCTGATGGATGAGTAGAGCGTCTCTCATGGGACGATTACGGACACCGTTCAGAACATGGCCTAATGTCTCTCCCTGAAAAGTAGAAGTATGGTTAGTATATGCCTGATAGATGAAGCATAGAGTTTATACATACCACCAAGTTTCGAGACTTCGAGAGCATCGCTCTAGTAAAGTTCTCTCGATAGGTCATTTCATATGCTTGCAACACTTCCCGCAGGTGCGCATTGCCTCTTACTATGATAATCTGTATCATAGCAGTCTCACCTCCGTCACGGGATGTTACCGCACGATGAAGGTCATACACGTCCTTACGGATCAGGTCGATATTCAACGGCGCGTTGTCAGGCTGTCTCCTCTCCTGCAAAGCAAGCAAAATAGCGGTACGGAACTTATCGGCCTTGAGTTCGGTCTGCATGCACAGCTCAAGGTTATCCTGGTACCTCTTGTCGCGGAAGCAAGCTTTGATCTCCTTTATTTCAGCATTGGGCCTCCCGATTAGTGACTCGATAAGGAGTTCATGTCGAGTACGGCTCGATTGATACCAGAAATTGGCCCATAGAGCTTCCGACTCCCATTGCCCCAAGGCGGTCGCGTAGCATACTTTACCTAAGTTGCCAGGGACTACCATCTTAATATGCTTGGCCAAGTTCACCCCTTTCCTAGTTAAGACTCTTAGATTCTTGTATGCACCACGAAGGTCCAGAATCTCATCGGATGTGAGGTATGGAAGGATCTTTATTAGTGTTTTAGCATTGATTTTTGAGTGGTTCAGAGCAGAATGGACCAGTTTAGCGTCATCCTTGGGATCATAAGTGTAAACCGGTTCTTTGGGTGCAATCTCTTTGATGACACTTGGGCCCAAGCTGGTGGACAGTCTCCTCCGGATTTGAAGTTCCAAACCAGGATCCTCTATCTGCTTCTTTTCTTTCTTGCTTTTCTTGCGGCCTAGAGCCCTGCTTTCTTTGCCGTTGAGAGGCTCCATATCAGACAAGGCATCATCCGCAAGGGATGTTGGCCATTGAATAGGCGATATACTTTGATATGTGCCCTTATAAGGCTCTAGAAGCGGACTAGCTGGTGGATTCATGCCATCTGGGAAACTGCCGGGTATCTTCATTTGGTTGTCAGGATATAAATTCAGGTTACTTGGCTTGCTGCTGACAGTTTGACGACGAGGTTTTATTTCCAGATATGAAGTTTGCTTCGGCTGGCTAACAGGTGCTGCAGCATACTGAACTTTGCTAGGGGTTGTATTAGCAGCAGCAGTAGCAGCAGGAATAGTAGTAGTTGGGGTAGCAGTGGTGGCACCAGTAGCGACGGCGGCAGGTGTAGGCATCTGAGTGGAATACCTGATCTGCGACGCAGGTACAGAATACTGGTAAACATCTGGCTTGCTGTATGTTTGCTTTGTGGGAATATGTCCAGTAGAGGTCGCGCGTTTATGGCCGCCGGGCGCCCCTGGCTTCGGTGCCAATGTCTGAGTGGCAGCTGGTGTTTGACCGTATTGTGGAGGTACATATCGCGAAGCAGGAATGCTAGGATACTGAGTAGTAGACGTTGCTGGGCTAGCGACAGTTGCTCCAGGTATCACACTCGGAATAGGGCGAGTATATGTTGAAGTCTGTGGACGAGGAGGCACTTCTGGCGCTGTCGCCACCTTCGCAGCGGAGGCTACCACTGGTTGCTTCTGCAGCTGGTAATACTGAGTAAGGTTGGCGTATATATTAGGCAGATCCGGATGATTATCGTTATTTTCACTGTGAGGTGTTGGGGCTGGGGCAGGTTGTTTCTCTGTCGGTGGGACATAGCCTTCACGTTCGCATTCGGGAATCTCGGCCCATGCATTGAGATCAATATCCGACGGCTTCTCCTCAGGGTGGAGGTCCTTGGAATCAGATGATGGGTAGAGCTGCGACTTCAGTTGTTCAAGTGTACTGCTTAGTCCGTATTGCTGAGTTTTTTGCAACATAGGCGGCATCTCATCGCGAGAAGAGGAGGCAGCAGTCACAGGAGCTTGATCTTGCTCAAATAAACTTCGATACTGGGGTGATTCCCTGGTTCGACTGCGGGAATGCCGTCGCCGATCCGTTGTATACTCCTTAGTATACTCGTAGCTGGAGTCCGAATCATACGTCGCCCTAGGGTCTGCGGGAAGCCTGCCACGAGATCTTGATCGTGACCGCAAAGGACGGTGGTGGGTTCTGGCAAGGGGGTAGTCGTAAGGATCACCGTACGCCAGGTGGTCATCCTCTGAGTCCGAAAAATATTCTGGCTCCTGTAGTCGGGATGGCTTTGTCGAAGGGTGAGCGACGACCGGCGGCTTGGGGGCCTGAGCAGTGTCAATATCCGAGTGTGAGTCGTACATGTAGCTTGACCGCTTGCTCTTGGATGGCCTCGAACTAGATGGATATCTAGGAGCCAGAGCATGCTCGTCAGAGAGGTAGTAGTGGTCGTTTGGCCGTTCCGTATAGTACTTTGAACTCTTCGATGGCCTATATCTTTCATCATCAGACGGCGAAACCTCACGATACTGCGTAGACATGCGCCGTGAGGTTGTCCGCCGAGATATTTCGTCTTCATACGAGTCGTAGTCGTAGTATTTCTTGGACTTCTTCTCCGCCTCCCTAGGGGGGGAAGTCCTGCGAACATGACTGTGGCTGCGACTATGACTTCGATCACGGCGTTCGTGCTCACGGCCGTGTCGCGATCTTGATCGCTCTCGGGACTTGGACCTCGATCGAAAGAACTGGTCAGGGATTCGAAGGGACATGGCTGCCGGATTTCATGGACGAGCCTCAGCCAGCCAGTTCCTCTCTTCTCCTTCTCAGAGCAAAGCAGTGTAACTTCTAGAGAACACAGGAGGGCTGAATACAGCTTAACAGCTTAATCAACCGCAAACAGCAGAAAAAGGTGCAGCTTCAAGAGTTGAAGGATTTCGAAGGATGCGAGCCGTCGATAACTAACGAGTTAAACTAGCAGCTCAAGCCTTGCAAAGCGGATTTCAGCCGCTTTGCGAGCGCAAGCAACGGTCGCTTGGCCCCCATATTTGCTTAACTTTGGTCCGCGCGACGCTGGCGCACATTGGCTGGTCACGCAGGAGGTGCCTGGTGATGACCGGGATGATAGGCCGCTCGTCGTATTCTGTATCCTTGCGATTGGCTGTTCAGGGATGTGGCTGCATGTCAATGTCCCGAGGTCTGCGAAGAAGAAGCGCATGCCAAAAATAGAAGAACGAATGTGTGCAATTAGTTATTATATATATAATATTTAAAACCAGAAAGGAAGAGAGAGACTGTCAAAAAGATATGTGCCTGGGTGCGCTTGTTAGATATCAAAGTCCGCCCCAGAAATCTGCCCAGCCTTATAAAGTGAGCGGCCAAAAGAGTTAGGCCTCCATTTTGCCCTCTTTGATGAGACGATCCCTCATCACTTTTCTGATAGGGACCCTAGCCATCGCCACGGTGAGCGGACGGCCGGCCCTGAACCAAGCGTAAGAATTAGCAAGGAGGCGGTTGATAACAGGTAACATGGAATGAATGGGAGCTCACATCAAATCGTCATAGTGCATCTGAGCACCTTTATCCTTGATCTGTACCTGGGTTCGTTTAAACAGTATGTTCTCAGCCATGCCGTCTCGCTTCTTGATCTCTGACCAAGAAGGCCCGCCGCACTCCTCGATATACTTCCTCAGGCATGCTTCTTCCTCTAGTGACCAGGCTCGCCGAGGCGCCCATTTAAACCCCGGCTGAGGTTCAACACTTACCCGCTCAAACCGTTGTTGTGGAGGAGCGGTGGCTGAAGGCGACCTGGTTCTAGTGGCTGCCTGGCTGTCACTCGTTCCAACCGTGCGAGAGACTGAAGCTGGGGTAGGCCGGGGAGGGGCTGGAATATTCAGAACACGGCGCTTCTTTATGGGGCGGTTGTCGATTTCAAACAAATCCTCATCCTCATCATCATCATCACCACCACCAGACTCGTTGCTGTCAGGATCCATAGCTTCGGCACCTCGCTTCTGCGGGCTCGGTCTAGTGGATGCATTGTCGCTAGGGCTCGGGGTAAAGCGAATGGGCGAAACCCGACGAGCATCCGCCTGTCGGTCTATAAACGCTGCACGCGCTTTGGATTTCTGTTTCGATTTTCGAACTTTGTTCCCCTCTTCAGAAAGCTGCCAAAGCTCCGCTAACGAAAGTGGCGGAAGCTCTTCTGGTCTGTTGCTCGATCTGGTTTTCTGTGGTGACTCTTGTATGCTGACGGCTGGTGTAAGCCGAGGCGGAGAATTTTGCGAGGGCGGAGGTGGTGAGCCACCGTCCAACAGTGAACCTTGAGCCGGGACTGGTCGTGATTCCGTTGTCTCTTCCCCGTCATGCAGTGTCTGGGCTTTATTTTCCGTGGTTGCAAGTATGTTTGAGCTAGAGTGTGCATTATCAGTGATCCCGATTGCAAGAACACGCCGAAGCGCACCTTTTCCTTGAAACCGGCGACGCGGCCGGCGTGTTGGACTTGTGGGAGCTTGCGGTTCTTCTGTTATCTCTTCGGTAGTGGCCTGGTTTGGGATTGAGGGAGCATCTTGCACTGGCCCGACTGCCAGGACTCGCTGAAGTGCACCTCTCCCTCTAAATCGGCGATGTGACCGATTAGTTGGACTTGAGACTGTAGCGGGATCTTCCTTATCAGCTTGCTTGGTCTCTACGACTCTCTCTGGCGTGGTGCTCTGCTCAACCGGAGGTTCAACTTCGCCTAGTGTAGAGTCTAAGATGGGCTCCAGCGGGTTTCCCGGCCCGAAACTAGAGCGTCTGTCCAATTCGGCTTGTAGAATCTTTATCGCATCTTCAACAGACATTTGTGAGCTAAGCAGCTGATCAATATCATTCACCCGCTTTCGAATCCAGTTTGCAATAGAAACAATGAATGCCGACCATGGGAACTTTGACTCCAAGCTTCCACCCTGTGCAAGAGTTTTTCGGATGAGGCTTATTCTCTCTTGGGCAGTTTCATGAAATTCTTCAGGCAACTGCTCATCCTCATCCTCTAGGCCATCCATTGCCCAACCTTTAAGTTCCGTATTAACGCTGCTGAGTGAAGGGTTATAGAACACGTCCGCTAGCAAATCTTCAGGCTCCGAAAATTCACTTGGGGAGCCAGACAGTAAACTTGAAATGAAACGTTGAGTACGCAGCTCAAGTCCCATCTGAAACGTTTCTCTTCTACAGTCATCCCCTGCAGAACTCCCCGCAGCTTCAAACGATCGTGAAGCCATAAAGGCAGCCGGGAAACTGTCGTCTGCTGCCGCTGTTGATGCGGTTAAACGTGGGTTAACAAGATCCAGCGCTAGTTGTGCCAAGTTGGCCTTTTGATACAATCCCTCAGACTGCCAGTCAAGCTTTTTTATAGAAGACAAAGCTGCGACCGATCGTTCAATAGGAATGAAGTTTGACTTGACTATGCATTTCTTTTGGGTCTCAAAGGTCACTTTAGCACGGTTGTACCTGACACTAAACTTGGCCGTCTGGAAGTGCTTTGCGACATTGGCATAAGAAATGCCTGGCGGTGCCAAAAGATCCAGGGCCTTGGTTGACGCATTAAGTAGGTCAGGGAGGGTATCAAGCAGGAGATGGGGGTCTGGCTCGTCGGTTTCATGGTCAGAGTCGTCAGTTTGGAGCATAGTAGTTCCTGAAATGTTGCCATGGTCTGTCTGTGATTCGGCAACATATGTTTGGCTCAGATAGGACTGATGGCCAGGAGAGAACTCGATACCGTGTCTTGGCCCGTTTGCACGATCCTCTGCGATGGGCGAGAGATCTATGCCACCGTTAGGTTGGCTCAGGCATAGCATGACTAAGAGCAATAAGGGCGAACGGAGCGTTGATACTCACCATTTCCCCTGGTAGAAACATCAGAGGTCCTGGGGGTCCTAGGGGCTGGCTTCTGGCTGCTGACATCGTCTCTCTTTGGTAGCAACGAAGGAACTTTGAAGCTCGCCGGCGCCGGAATCTCCCCAAGCTCTCCACTAAAGCTTTTAGTTAACCGCGAACTTGTTCCTTGCGCGCGTTTAGCGGACACAGAGTGACTTCTCGGCGGTTGACTTTGTCCGGTTGGGGTGACGCCCCTGACTTGAGCCATCATACCCCAGGCTTGAATTATCAGAAAAAGCCAGTAACTTGCGTAATCTGAGTATATACGTCGTGTAGTTATGTATTTATAGGAGTTGAGGCCTGGGTTGTCGATAAAATCACGTAAAGTCGAGTCGATGAGGTTGTTGTTGTGAGAAAAAATTGAGGTTGGGGTTGTTGTTGTGAAAAATTCGGGTTGGCGCGTCGTCTAAATAAACAACGATTGGCGCTAACCGTTTTAGGATGATAAAGTCACGTTTAATTCACGTGACTTAACTGAATGTAACCCGTAACCCTATCCCTAACCCAAACCCTAGGAAGCCCCTCTGTCGAGAGTATGAGTGAGGGGTATGAGGGGTATAGGGGAAAGTGCGGGGGAGTTCTAAAACCGATGATAATCAACTATAATGCGATTGTCAACTCTTCTGTTCAATGAAAGAGGCTACAATCATTAATATAAAACTCGTTTATCTTAAGTGCTAACTTCCTAGCTTTTCTGATCGCTGGAACGATTACTCCGTAGTGACTCGCTCCTTCATACCACGCAACGTCATCCCTCAATGAGTGAGGCTTGATTAATGTCAGGAGACTGAAAGTACAAGTGCCGAAATGATAACGCGGTTGGTAGTTATAGAATGCTTAGCTAAATGATGGATTATCGGAAAACTACCTAGAGTTATTACTGTATACGATGTTGATGGGCTGCTTCAATAGATACCTTTATTCAGAAGCAAACGCCACAAACATCAAGAACTGTGTTAGTTGGGTCCGGGATGCAGTCCAAGCGAAGCACTGGGCTGATGATTTTGAAATCGGCACGCTCATGGACCATGTTTTTGATGAACCTGATAAGTGGTATCAAGCTAAAGAAAACATACGGAGCGTATGCCATCGGGTATGCCTACCGGGCCATATGCCCGGAAAATGTGCTAGTTAGGAATGGAAAAATCGCCGCAACTGTGGGCTGGGGCTTCGGAGAATATTAATCAGATCCACTTAATAGCGTACTTCTACCATGAGAAGTTTTGCAAATGTCGTCCATAAGACGTGTTCGGGAGAGCTGAGACCGCTGTCTGGCGTGTCCTTGGGACTCTCCCCTGCGACAATCCGATTCCAGGCTCCGCCAAAAACCCGGACGGTGAGCGGAGAAATCAGCTGAAGGTTCATTGGAGCCTGTTTTACAGCAAAGTGGACCTGCAGGAGAGTTCAAACGATGGCGATGTCAGGGACACCCGTGGCCAAGGTTAAGCATCGAACTGTTTTTTGGTGTTGGTGATTGAGATGTGATTCGTTTCTTGACACACTTCTTGTACACTTACATAATACCAGCACAAGGGTTCTAAACGTTGTACTCGTACTCGTACGAAGTAGTCTAGTCAACTAGTCACCAGCCCAGTGCGTTTATCGATAACTAGTTAGAAAGCCCCTGGGATCCGCGGCACGGGAAAAGGGAGCTAGCCAACAGCCGCCAGCACCACTAACACGCCAACCGGTGGATCAAACGTGGCCAAGCACAACGCAAGCACGACGGAGGTCCTCTTGTCGTCTCATCGCCTGGCTCTTGAAACCTGCCCCCTAAACTCAACATCCCACAGGCCGTTCCCTTTTACTCGCCTCTTGAACGACCTGACAGCTCCGACAGACAGCCAAAAGATAACATAAAATGAGATAAACCCCTGATCCCTGTCGTCTTGCTGGCCCTCTCCTCCGTGGAAAAAGGCACAAAAGCCGTCCGTGTCCAAGGAAAAAAAGGGGCTGTTTTGCTCTCTTGATAAGTTTTTGATATCGCAAAAAATAGAAACGCGCCGCCAAGAGTCGCCGGTGGTCGAGGCCTGGCCCAGAGCACGTGAGCTGGACCGGCCGCGCCCCCTTTGAGAAGTTCGACGTCCTCGACTTTCTTCGACTTCAACAACCTCGTTCCTCCATCTTCCATCTTCTGCCTCATCTTTCGTCTCTGCGACGTCGAGATATGCCGTGCTAGACCCTGATTACGCTCATTTGCATTCGTTTTTCTTCTTTCCGCTCTGGTTTTCTTAGTACTGTTGGCAGGCTGCGTTTTGCGGAAGGCTCGTCGCAATTGGCATCACTACTGTCGTTGCGGCCTCAATATCACGACCATTTCTGCCCTGACTACACGATCTGCACCAAGACTTACTCTTCTTTTGGCGATCTGGAATTGCTTGAATACCGCAGGCTGATCTCCCGAGGACCTTAGAACCCAGCTTATCTCGCATTAACGATATAATCCATAATAATTAACTCCCAAGGTCCACGGCAGCCCAACATGCGTGTTCAGCCTTTCGTCTCATCCGCCCTTCTCCTCCTCTCTATCTCTACCGCTATAGCCGGCCCGGCGTCGAACCCAGATGCAAAGAAGAAGCTACCGTCTAAAGGGACTCGGGAGTCGGATTCTGTCAAACCCATTACGGACACCGTTGCCACAGATGATGACCCGTCGACCTGGGGCCCCTTTGACGGAAAGGATGGTAAGCCTCATGCCGGTCCTTTTGTAGAGACAATTGCGGAGCGAGGACGTAAGAAGTCGTCCCAGAAGGGTGGCTCAAAGACGGAGGACGAGGAGGACGATACCTTCTCTGAAGACACCGAACACATAGCCCCTGATGGGACCAAGATTCCTCACTCGAATGATGGAGTAATGGACGACAAGAACCGTTCAGGGCCCAAGGAGGGAACCACAGGCACGGAAGGCGGAGTGTCAGCGAAATCCAAGGGCAAAGATACCAGTATCGACAGGAAACCGGATCCTCCCAAGGAGGCACCTCCACTGCCTCACAGTGAGCAGACGAAGATTCCTGGACAGGATGATCAGACCGAGGATGATGAGGACGAGAAGAAGGGTTCAAAGGTGCTAGAGGTAGGTTAAGTTCTCAATTATGTTTTCCCATTCCATCTCTCGCGGTGTTCTAACGTATAATATCCTTTGCAGAAGCCGGACGATCTCCCAGATTCTCCTCACTCAATCTCCTCAGGGAAGTCGGACAAATCCCCCGGACCTGATCTCTCCACGAAACCAGGTTCATCTCAACCGCCGGACACCAAGATACCGCCCAAGAAGTCTAGCAACGAAATCATCCACCCCTCCGACTCATTCTTCCTCTCCCTCACCATGATCGTTTTCTCTGAGATCGGTGACAAGACCTTCCTGGTCGCCGCACTTATGGCTATGCGCCATCCTCGCATGCTCGTCTTTTCTGCTGCATTTAGCGCACTTGCTATCATGACCGTCCTTTCCGCTATTCTTGGCCACGCTGTTCCTACCATACTGCCTGCACACTTTACCAGCGCTCTTGCATCGATTCTTTTCTTCGTTTTTGGTTTCAAAATGATCCTCGAAGCACGCAACATGTCCCCAGACGAGAATGTCAGCCAGGAGATGAAAGAGGTTGAGATGGAGCTCGAGGAGAAGGAACATGAGCAGCTTCGAATGGGCCGCGGACGCTCTGCCATCAGTGCTTATGCTCTCGAGTCCGGACATGGGGGACTTCCGCGAAAGAGCCGTTCTTCAAACCACATGCTTCCCTCTCCCCAGAGTCTCTCCTCATCCTCCTCGAGGGACAATTCCCCATCCCGCGCTAACACCCTTGCAAACGCCATGGCCGGTGTTAGCAACCTGTTTTCTTTCCTCCTGAGCCCCGCTTGGGTGCAAACGTTTGTCATGACTTTCCTTGGAGAATGGGGAGATCGAAGCCAGATAGCTACCATTGCAATGGCTGCCGGTGCTGATTACTGGTGGGTTACCTGCGGTGCCGTAATTGGACATGGCTTGTGTACTGCCGGTGCAGTCATCGGTGGACGAGCCATTGCCGGTAGAGTCAGCATCCGAGTTGGTATGGACAGCCCGCTTCTATTCATTTTTATGTATATGCCTATTCGGCCGCTAACGTCTTCTCATAGTCACCTTTGGCGGTGCCATTTGCTTCGTCATCTTTGGCCTTCTCTACCTCTTCGAATCCATCTACTAAACCCGGCCGCCTGCTGTCTCAGAGCAAACACATAACCTTCGCACTTATGAATTATTACCTTGCCTTTATTCCATTCTATCTTACCCGTTCCATATCTAGTATCTCCCCTTCCTCACGAACTGATCATATGCTTTAGGAATCCCCTTATATTTTCCATTTCTTTCTCCGTCTACATCCTATATCTTAATGGCGTACCTTCTATGCTTATTGCCCCTTTCCTTTACACTTCTCATAGCTCTTGTTTTGAACAGTTTTCTCCATGGCTGGCTCTTCTGTATTCTTACTGTTGTTTGCTTACCTTTTTTTTTTTTGGCTATCAGCATGAATTTTCCTCAACTCTCCTACTTTACAACACTATGCCTCCCTATAGCTCATCCAATATCAATCCGCTATAGGTCAGCCCGGCTATACCAGCGCTTTCTCTTACATTCTACGTGATATATCCTATGTTTACCCTTTTTTTCAATTTTTGGTGTATCAATTGTTTTCCGGTATTTTTCTTTGCTGATGTTCCCAAAGGCTAGGTTACCAAAAAAAATTAGATGGATATGGGTCTTGTGTTCCGTTTCCTTTTTCAGTCACTATGAAACCGCAGGTTGGACATCTTTGCCCTTATATGCTGATCAAATAAGATACTATTAATCCATATAGTTGCTATTGTCAAGTTGAAGTGAATTGTCTGCCTCTCATTTGTCGGTATTTTTGAGCAAACAAAAATATCAGCATGCTGATATTGGTTTCCCCCCCGTCCAAGCAATTTCTCACTTTGGCACCCGACGGAAGATGCCGTTTGTTTCATTTCTACTGATTTCCTCCTACTAGTGTCTTGCTAACAAGCAGGAGCTAGGGAGTTATCTACTGCCCAACTCCATTTCACCGAGATATCAAGTCAACCAATTCCCCTTCATCCGTTATCACCAACACAACCACCATGGCACAGCTTGAAGTCCCCAAGCAGCGCTCTTCTAGAAGTCCCAAGAAGAAGACAGAATACAGCAAAGAGTTTCCCTCTTTCTCGTCTTCTTTCTCATCTTCGGGATCCTCCTCCTCCCTCGATATTCCTATAATTTTCAGCGTGTTTTACGGCAGACCTCAGCGGGTCTCAACTTCTCAGTCAACGTCCTCCCATCCACTTAAACACGTCTCATTTGAAAGCAAAGTCAACTCTGCGTTCATCGAACACGCTCGAAAAAAGACTGAAGAACCGCGAGGTCGAATATGGGAGCGTCGCAAGCATCGGCGGGACTGTGATTCAGTTCAGTTCAAGGAGATAGCTTCCTTAGCAAGCACGCACCATGATCAGATATTGGAGCTGTGGGGTAGCAAACATTGTGCTATCTGCGAGAATCGGCCTGCAACAGCTGTACTTTATTTGCCTATTTGCTGCACGTATGATGGGTATTATACTCTTGCAGATGGAGATAGGCTGTTTGGGCTGATGCTGTCGATTGCAAAGCTCGTAGCGGAGCTCGATTCGGATGTCAAAGTGCGTTCAGCCATCGGAAGCAACGTTCATATGCCATACATCAACGGTCTCGCTGTGCCGGTTTGCTCAGCTGAGGACAACTGTCGAAAGGAGGCCAACTTGGAGGTAGCAAAGTTCCTAAGAGCTTTTGGATTCGATGATGCTCCGGTTACTGAAGAATCAAAGGCCGACGATAATGACTACGATAGCGAGGAAAGAACCAAGGATGAGCAGGCCCGACCATTCAGGCCACTCCTGAAGCGTCGATCGACTTGCAGCTCCAAATTTGCCACGGACATGGCGATGTTTCGGGATGCGATCGAGGCAGATGAGTGGGAAGACGACGATGTCAGTGATAGCGGTGATGAGGCTGCTCCAAGCGAACCTCCTGTCCCTAGTATCCCCGGCCACAGCCCAACGCGAATGTACATGCGCGAGCGAATCCCGTTACGATATACAGTGTTATGCGGCCAACCCATACTAGACCCGAGTCAAGGTACGACAGCGACTGAGATCGATGCCGGCCGCTTAACCTGCCTTGTCTTTACTTCTCGATGGGAAGCGGGGCTTCTAGAATCAGTTGCAAATGCTAGCCATGATCCGGAGCCGTACCAGATGATAGCGTCATTTCATGAACGATTTATCATGGCAGCCGCCGAATTCCGGTGTTGCATTTGTCCCAATTTTGTGCTAGCTACGACGTTGGTTCATTGCCCGATCTCATTTAGGCGAGATGCCGAAAATTCACCTGGTAATCACCCTCATCGACAGTCCATGATTAGGCTACTACAGTATACGAAAGGGAAGTGGAACTACCCCGAAACAAAGGCAGCGTTAGGATATGATGGAGTCTGGCATATCGATGACTTTGTTGTGCCTATATGCCACGGTGGCTCTGTATGTGAAGAAACGGCAAGGATTGCGGTCACACAGTTCATCGACGGGACACTCGCGACGGGTGCAAGCCGGTGCTACCCTGGTTTGTCACCGGATACAGACCTACTCGGCGCATACTGGGTTGAGAATGGAGGCAAAATACCAAAACTGGTAGTTCAAAGGATAGGACTGGGCCTGTTTACTGATGTTCAGAGTCAGGGGGGCCCTGGAGCAGAAGCAATTCTAAAAAACAACCAGGCTATTGAGGCTATTAGGCGCTCTGTTATGGCCAAGCAAGAGAGCCTTAATGCACCCGAAGGATCTGGGTTGTACGTTTCTAACCACGATACTGATATGGGTAGTGAGGCCAGCCCCCGTCTTCCCGAAACATTGAACGTAGAAATTATCCAGGACAGGGGCAAAACTTACACGTATTCTCTCGAAGACGAGGATGCTATGTGTTTTGCAGAGGCAGAGGAAGGGGGTATACCGACGTGGGGCGGTTATCCTCTGAGCGAGGAGTCAACTAAGCTGGTGGACGCAGGGCTACATGAGTTGGCGTTGATGAAGCCTATGATTACGATGGAGGTTCTTAAGACGTTGGAGACTACGAAGGAGTTTATCAAGGGGCGATACTCTTTACGAGAAGGCGAAGGGGAAGTTAAGGACGATATTGAGAGCGCGGATCAAGGAGAGACTTAATATGAATTTTTTATCGTGTACCATGCCTCTCAAATTTAGGCAAATGACCCATACACTATCCGCCCCTTACATGACCATGCAACAGATTAAACAGACTTTTTTTTTTCCTTTTCCCTTTTCCCCTGCACCTTTTGGGTATCCAACCAAGTACCATGCTATCACCCAGAAGTAATAGCAAGTCAAAACAAATCGCAAACACCGGCCCATGCCATTTCATACACGAAAATGTAAAGTGATACAAATAACCACTGTGTCCATGATTGAAGGAAGTATTAATAGTAATTATAACATTTTTCAGGGAAATGTTTTCCGAAGATACCAACGAGATCCTGCTTGTTGAAGGTTGTTTCTGGAAGATCAAGGTCGATGATAGGTGGCCTGTCGAATACGTCGATGACTGGAGAAACGACGGGAGAAGACGGAGTATTGGTACTCGAAGTATTGGTATCCGAATCCAGTGGAGTAGAGCTGAGACAAGCAAAGGTACTTGCATCTGAACTTGGTGGAGAAACCACGGGCGAGGAAGGGGTATTAACATCGTCATCTGGCGGAGGAATCACTAGGAACTGAGGGGTATTGGTATCTGAATCTAGCGGAAGAATCACAGGAGTAGGAGGAGGAGGAGGAGGGGGAGGGGGGGTATTGACATCCGCATCTGCTGGAGAAATCACGGGCGTGGGAGGAGTCCTGATATCTGAGTTTGCTGGAGCAGAGCTGCGAGAGGGAGGCGGAGTTGGAGGCGGAGTAGGAGGAAGGCCGGCCGAAGGAGAAAAGATAGGAACATTCGAAGTGGCTGATGTTGTACCAACGGAAGATGTAGTAACAACCGAAGTAGACGGGCCAAGGGTATTCACGATAGACAGGCGCGATGGGGTTCGCGGAGTAGTACGCAAACGGCTGTTAGAGCCTGGAAATGTTGCAAAAGATGGCCCTGGATCGGGACGGTCACAGACTTCGTCGACGACCTTGGATATAGCTCGCTGGGCGGCCGGGCGACATGTCTCAGGAGTGTCCCATACTTTGGCCATCTCGAGCGGGTTTGTATTACCAACTGGAGGGATGGGCGCTCTGTAGTAGGAGAGGGATTCGGGCTCTTCTTCAGGGGCCGGAGTGAGATTGTTTGGAGTAGGATCGTGAGCGACTTCCTTGCACTTTCCTTTTTTGTCTTTTCCCTTGAAGAGGCGTTTGGCAAGCTTGCGGAATGGTGTCTTTAAGGAGAAGTTGATGCCCTCAAGCGCTTCTGTATCGAAGATCTCGTCGACGTCCCGGGCGTGCATTTGGGTTGTCATTTTGGTATATATGTTGTTGATATGACTTTTGGGAGCCTGAGGAATTAATCTATCGTATGAATGAGCTAGGAGCCCTGGTATTCTTGGTATATGGTGATAAGTGCCGAAATATGTCTAAGATGTAACAGATGCAATGTGGTACGATTTCTAGATGTTGGTATATCTCTAGAGATGGGAGGTTTTTTTAGGTGATATCGATCATCCTTGCAAGCGAACGAGAGGTATATGGGATATTAGGAGAACAGGTTGAAATTCGCAGGAGGAAAGGACTTTATCCCTTCTCTTAGGGCAGCGTCAACCCATGGGGCATCATAACGAGCCACCATGATAGGGTGAACCAGAGCCGGTGGTCGACTAGCCTCCGTAAAGAGAGTCGATGACATATTCGAGTGCACATTTTGTGAAGACCATGGGCCAGAACCATGGTAAAGTATCAACGTAAAATATGCAATGAGGCTCAAGTTTGGAAGCTCTCGCTATGCATATGGCATAATATGGCATAATGCCCTGCATCTGCAGGTCCAACTGCTGCATGGCAGCGTCCGGATTGCCCGGAAATGGACGAGCGTGTAATAAAAAATCCAACACGTGCAAGGAGGACCATATCGAGTTCTACCAGCTACTTCTTGTGTTTCGTCAGCGACATGAAGTCGTGGACGTCATATTGGGGTATAAGTTTTCCAGCCAGGAACGAACCATAGACTTCACGCATCGAAACCTTGGTACAAATCGCACATCATCGAGTATGAACGAAAATGTTTAAACATGATGTAGCGATGGCTACAACTCTGTTGGTGAGATTAAGCTGGACGAATAACTAGCTAAACAGATGTGAAAACTCAGGGGAAGGAGGAGGAGAGGGAGGAGGATAACTACCGAGTCTGAACCTCCCCGCGGCTTTGTGCAGGCTAAGATGTATGATATCATACGAAGACTCCTGCTTCACCGTGCGCAGCACTAGCATCAGACCTGAAACCGCCATCTTGTTGATTTGTGTATCTCTGTTATCGAGAAATTTCCGGTTACGTATTCCTTTTGGCAGGTGTAAGTATATTATTCTCCTAAATTGAGACAAGCGGCCTCCTGGTAAACTGGCTCAAAGCACACAACCCGTCCAGCTGAGCCGGTGGAGGTGTGCATCCCCCACAAAACAATACTTCTCCGTCCACGCCCAGCAGTCCGACCACTCCACACTCGGAGAGCCAAATAATCAGACAACGAGACAGCGTTATCGTGAGTCTCGTAAAGCCGGGTTGATCGCAGCAGCCGCCACCAAACCTCGCGGTCCCGGTGGCCGCCACGAACGCGGATCGATCCCAAGGGCACCCGCCGGCACTGCTTCATCTCCAACACGACCAACTCTAACCTGCGAATGGCAGATGGAAGGAACAAAAAGTAAGGGTAAGCTTGTCGATCGAAGCAACAGCCTTTCGCTCCTTAAACGACGTGCTTCCCATGCGTTCTCTGGGGGTCCCTAACGCCCTTGGCGAGCACATAAAAAGGGCAGTTAAGGCTGCTCGAGCACTGCACGGTGACGTTATCCCATCATCGGACCATTCGCCATTGGGCAACGAGCAGCTCGTGGAGGGAGAACATCTGGGTCTCCCATGTACAGCGGCCGTCTCCTGAGTCGTCTCCTTCGTCTTTCGTCTCTTTTTCCTGTCTCTTCGGAGCGGAGCCTGGGGGGCAGAAGGAGGACAGAGATAAGCAGGGCAGATGAGAGACACCCGCGGTGGCCACCAGCATCCACGCGTGCGTCCTTATATGCGCCAAGGGGCAGGGAGGGGGCCGTCCGATACGTCAACTCTCGATTCACCGACCACGAGCAGCGCCAGCCACCGGCATGGAGCTGGAGCAGCAGTCGTAGTCGCAATTTCGAAGCTGTGCTGTTCGCTATTTTAGGTCGTTTGAGGTTGAAAGTTGAGGTTGAGGTTGAAGAAGAAGCAAAAGCGACTTCCGAGGTACTTCCGCTTTGGGCAAAGGCTGGCGGGCGCGCGAAGTACTGACTAAGTCGCGCGGTCACATGGTCTGCAGCGGCCGAAAAGGGAAAAGAGAGAAAAAGGCGACGGGACAGAAGAAGACGAGACGCCGTCGGCCGCTGGCTATATAAAGGATGGCGACGTCTGCTTGCTCCCCGGACGCTGTCTTCGTCTTCCTCTGTGCCGCAGGTAGCCCACGGATAGCTACAGCCAGGCCATAGAGTGCGCTGGGAGGTCCGTCTAGCGGTTGTTTTTGCCCCTTGCCTCCTCTGCTCCCCTTCCTACAGCTCGTACGACGAGCTTCGACCGCACCGGACGAGACTTGATAGACCGGATTCCTGGACTCCTACAGCATATTACAGCATTCCACAGCATACAACATCATATACAACGGCTGGTTGACGGTATACACAGTGCAGACACGAAGAGCTGGTCCTCTCGTACATATAGATCGCCCACGGAAGCAACAGCTCCAGCTGATAAAGAGACAATAGACAGAGACGGATAGAAAGACATCTCTAGATGGCGGACGAGGTGCAAGCAGGGGCTTCTCCCGCTCAATCGGACGTCAGCAAGGAAGTCGAGGAGGCTCCAAAGCCTGCAGGTGTCAAATGGACAAGGTATATCGGCCTAAAGGGCAAGGATTCCCAGGCCCTGGAGGAGCGATGGGCTCACCGGGAGAAGTGGTCCATGGGCATTCTCAGCGATAAACAGACCGACGAGGTGCCGGGTACGTCTTTTTTCTTCTCTCGTCCCTTTTCTGCTTGTCGAAGATGACAAGGTCTGACATGTTAGCTAGGAACCATCCTGCTGCTCGCCGCAAAGCGAAATGAGCCTCTCGGCCTTAGAAATACGCCTGCTCGGACGTCTGCTACATCACTTCCCTCACCATACCCTCCATCCAGAGGCTCCTCGCGCGGCCCTGCACCGGTCCAGAAGCGAACCGCAGATGGAGCCATAGTCCTAGATCCTCAGCCGGAGGAATCTATGAACGATCCTCTTAACTGGCCGATGTGGCGGCGAGACCTGGCCATGCTCTGTCTGGGCTTCTACTGCATGCTCGGAGGCGGTATGACGCCCATCCTGGCAGCTGCATTCAATGAAGTCGCGGCGGAGTACCACATCACCTTCCACGAGGTCGCCCTAACCACCGGACTCTACATGCTGGGTCTCGGCCTCGGCTCCGTCGTCATGTCGCCCACTGCCATCTTATATGGTAAGCGGCCGGTTTACATTGCCGGTGCTACCATGTTTATCATCTCTGCAGTCTGGTGTGCTCTTTCTCCTTCCTATGTCAGTCTTGTCATTGCTCGCATTTTCCAAGGTTTAGCCGTTAGTCCGGTCGAGTGTCTTCCATCGGCCACAATTGCAGAGATCTACTTCTTGCATGAACGTGCATACCGAGTTGGAATATATACTTTGCTGCTTTTGGGCGGAAAGAACTTGATTCCCCTTGTCAGTGCCGCCATCACAAACAGCTTAGGATGGCGTTGGATTTTCTGGTATGTCCGCTTTTTTTTTTTTTTTTTTTTGGCACACCATTCCCTGCTTTTGATCATAGATTCCTAACCAACGTGTATAGGATGGTTGCCATCACCACTGGATTTAGTGCAATCCTAGTATTCTTATTCGTTCCAGAGACCTTCTGGGACAGAACTCCACGTCCTCGTGCAAAGCGACCCCATGTGCGAAGGAGCATGTCTGATCTTGTCCATACCATTCGAGGCAGGTCCTCGCAGCCTGTCACTCCTGGTGCAGTGACTCCCAGCGCAGTGACCCCAGGAATAGAGGAACCAGACAGGCAGTTGGGTGCCGTTACACCCCGAAAGCATAAAAATGCTCATGTTGGTTTCGCTGGGGATGAGAAGGCAGAGATTGAGAAGGATCACTCCAAGGCAGAGGATGAACAAGACACCGCCCAGCCTGACATTCCTACCATAGTAATCGACCCTGAGGCCCAGCGGTCCATCCCAGCTTCCAGAGACCAGGCAGATCCGACCACCCAGCTATCTCAACAGCAGATATACACCAGCAACCTCCGTGCCAGACCACCAGTCAGCTTCATCCAGACACTAAAACCATGGAATGGCCGAATTACCAAAGACAGCTGGTTCCGCGTCATGCTCCGCCCATTCATCCTTTTCGCCTACCCTGCCGTCCTCTGGTCCTCCATGGTCTACGCCCTCTCAGTTGGATGGCTCATCGTCCTTTCAGAGTCGGTGGCAGAGATCTACGCCAAACGCGACACCTACAATTTCACCCCCTTGCAGGTCGGGTTGGTATACATTTCCCCCTTTGTCGCCGGTATTCTCGGCACCATCGTGGCTGGAAGAGTCTCAGACATCATTGTTCGATTCATGTCCCGTCGAAACGGAGGCGTTTACGAACCTGAGTTCCGTCTCGTAATGGGCCTCCCTAGCACTTTGGCAACTACCATTGGCCTAATGGGCTTTGGATGGAGCGCCCAGGAGAAGGATAACTGGATTGTGCCCACCGTCTTCTTCGGTATCTTGTCCTTTGGCTGTACTCTCGGAAGCACCACATCAATCACATACTGCGTTGATAGTTACCGTCAATATGCCGGTGAGGCTCTGGTGACGCTTAACTTCAGCAAGAGTAAGTCAAGTCAATCTCCTTCACATCACTTACTTCTCCTAAATCTAACTAACGACCAACCATAGACGTTCTCCATGGATTTGTTTTCTCTCTCTTTTTCGTCCAGTGGCTTCAGGCAGACGGAGCAAAGGATGTTTTTGTTGCATTGGGCGGCATTCATCTTGCATTGATGCTTTTCACAATCCCCCTATATATCTACGGCAAACGGGCCCGCATGTGGACCGTTAGAAAGCAAATGATGGAGAAGTTTTAGACTCCATTTCGTCCATTTATTTATTTATGTTTTCAAGCGTTTGTTGTGCTTGGTGATATATGATGTGTTTACGTTCTCATATTACCTCTTACGATGATACCTGCTTTTAGAGCAAGCGTGTTTTGATGTTTCTGATGGAGTATTATGTTTGAAGATTTCACGATCCCTATCTTTGCCGATGATGTTAGCTACGCACACTTTGCATCTATCTATTTACGTTTGTGCTGTTTCCATCTTGGTTCAAAAGGCGTTACATTTGACAACTCATTTACCAGAATGCTTAACTATTACCATTTACTCCAATTTTATCGATTTTTCTAAAAAATTAGCATCTGTGAATCTATTACATGAGAACACAGACGTAAAACCCGAAATTGTCTCTCCCCGCCTCTGCATTTAATTAGTTAAGGATCGTTCGCTCGCTCTTCTTAGTACTTCTCAATCAGCCAGTTTCGCCGTTTAGCCTCGCTCATACTCTTGAGCATCTTCTGCTCCCCTTTCCTAACAGCGATGTATCGTTTGACGAAGACTTTGCCTAACAGCTCTTGAAGGGCAGTGTTATCCTCCAAGGCTGCAATGCTTTCATCGATGGACTTGGGCATGGGGGTGGTTATTCCCAGCTCCCGACGTTCTACATCACTCAGCTCCACAGGATCAACTAAATAGTTCCCATACCATATTAGCAATGTGTATCTGTTGTTAAATGAAAGGTGATCGGATACAAACATACCATTGCAGGCCTTGACTTCCAGCCTCGTGTGGTTCTTCAAACCCAGATATCCCGCACCAATAATGGCTGCCATGGCCAGGTATGGGTTCGACATTCCATCCATGGACTTGATTTCCCAGTGGCCATCATGAATTTTTCGGATAGGAGTTTCGCGATTCTGGTCTCCCCATGCAACCCATACACCTCCAGCCCAGATACCAGGCAAAACACGCTCATAACATGCATCTTGAGGGAATGTAAATGCCAAGATGGATGGGAAGTGCTTCAACATTCCAGCAAGAAAGTAGTTCTCACGCGATGCTGGTGAGATGGATATATGGGCGTGTGATGCGGTTCCTGCGTGGCTGGGGGATGGCCTCGGGTACAGGGTTGCTCGAACGCCATATCTCTCCGCGACTGTGACGATGACCTGTCGGGCTTTAATGAGGATATCGACTGAAGCCACAGGTCGAGATGGAGGAAGCACGAATTCGAATTGGCCTGGCGACGACTCTGCATGGAACTGCTCGATTTCGATGCCTAAGGCTAGAAGCTCAGAAGCTATTTCTTCCACAAGGGGCAGTGCTGTTCTTGCGTCGGATGTCATGTTTGACCATGAATGATTGAGGGTTAAGGGAGTGAAATAGTCTTCATCTTCGAGGTAGTTGTAGCGATGGTCCCGTTTAGCTCCAGATGGTTTCATGAACACTACTTCAACTTCAAAACCGACGAGCAAAGAGATACCAAATTCGGATTTGCACTTGTCAACCAAATTCTGCAGGGTAAATCGTGGACATCCTTCCAAGGGCCTTCCATATGCATTTCTCCAGAAAGTCATTACCGTAGCGCTGTTAGGGGAACCAGATCTTTTAAGATTAGGGGACAGGGTAGTAACGTCGGGCCGTAGAATGAACTGGCCTGCGGTCAAAGCACCTGGTTCGCCTAGTGTGTCATTCTGTAGCAAGTTCGTAAGAGCCATTGTGATTCCAAGAGATTTTCCCTGGAGCACTTGGTGGAATTGACTGGCAGGAAGCATTCGAACGCGGACAGTCGCTGTATAGTCCACAAATTGAAGCCAGTAAAAGTCAATATTTTCGTAAGTGGACGTGAATCTTTGGGCTGTTTGAAGGATAGATTCTTGTGGCCTCTGGGCAAAAAGCTCGGGTAATGTTGTCTCTGTATCCCACTGTAAACCCATGAGAGTCTCGAAGCTCACAGTCTGCTCCAGGTTATAAAGCTTATTGGAGTTATTGAATAGGATATCCGTAACTGAGGTCATTGCATAGCTGACGTTGAAATCTCCCTTGTATACATACTCGGTGAAAACCTAGAATTAATATTTAGCAAAGTTTTCTTCTGTAAACAAAGGGGAGATTGGGCTGGGAGCTCATACTGTTTCCAACGCTTGTCTAAACTGAAGGTTGGCCAGCCAAAATGTCTCCGGGTGAAAATGGCCATCAGTGCTCCAGAGAAGCTTAGAAGTAGGCACTAATTCCAAAGCTTGACGGACGACCGCAAGCTGGCCATCTCTGCTAATCATCGGGAACACTTCACCTAAGTCCAAGTAGACGTTTTTATAAGTGCTCGCCAGGTATCCTGCCTGACGTGTAAAGGGGTACGACGAATGAAGCAGAACGAAATTGACCGTTTGAAACTCCTCAATGACAGATTGAAGAAGAGCTGGGTCAGACTGAGTAAGTTCAATGTCAGAATCTCCTAAGCCTGTATGGAACTGGATCGGCTTGGTTTTCCCCGTGGCGAGGTGATGCTGTTGGAGTACAATCAGGACCATTAAGACCAAGTGGTCGTTCAAAGGCTTGCTATCAACCCGGCCGTTTCCCTCCGTGGACAATGTGTGGAAATAAGAATTAAAGCTTGTGAAGACATCATTGGTTGCAGGCTTCTTCACTGCCAGGCCAGACCGATAGCAGATGACTGATTTGAACCCGGCAATCTCAACATCCTCCAGGTACTCTCTGATCCTGTTCTTAAATGCAACTTCAAAGACAGATAGGAGCTTGGTAGAAGAGTATTTCTCCAAGATAAGGCCGTTCTCGTCCTCGGCCCCCGGGATATCAATCTCATCGTTGATGGCCTTTTGCAGCAGTATCTTCGAGATCGAAGCAGCCAGGGTTTCAATGCGAATAATTCTCTTTGTAGGTCCAGTGGTAAACCGGTCATGCCACTCGTATGGCTTTGAGTGCTCCAAGCTCAAACCGTCGTCAATGAGGAGCATATGGGTTCCGTGCAAACACTTCTTCACCAGCTGATCATAATCACTCACAATTGCCTCTGCTCTGGCGATTTTGAGGGCCTCCAGCTCATCCGTACATCCGTACAGCTCTGCCAGCTGCCTGGTGGCCCTGATATGGGGGAGAGCCCTGCATCCGTCCTCCAGCAGGGAGTCTCCCTGGGCCTCTGAGACGACGCTCTCCAGGGGGTATCTATCATAGTCTGCTGCATACTCAGCACTCAGGATGTTGTGTGCATGGTTGTCGATAAGCGGGTGAGAGCGAATAAGCCGTCTCAAGGCTTGAATGTCCGACATCGAATCTCGTCTGGCCGGGTGTTGGCGGTTGCCAGACGGTCGAAATCGTGGCTTGAGGTTGAAAGAAGGAAAATAAGCAGTTGAGACGCTGGTTGGCTCAGAAAGACTAAACTCCAACTTCAACAACGTCGAACCAGCAACTGGTAATTATAGGAACGGCCGCTCTGTACCAACACCAGCTTGATTCTCAACACGATGGCTACTTGCAGAGACAGCACAGTGACAGGACAGTGACAGGACAGTGGCATATGCTGTGTTCCCTTTTCGTTATCGTTCCCGTGTTGTGCTGGCGGGCGCTGACTCTAGCTTTTAGGGCACTTCTTTTCGATCAGGGATACCCTTGCGAGCCAGAGTTACCAGACTCACATCGCAGTCTAGTTCGCTGTGCGACAGCGGGAGCATAACGCTATCTTTCGATCACGCCTGGTTACACATTTGCCTATCCGTCTTGTCCTGACGGCTCCGGAGCTCCTGGAAGGCTATTATTATTATTATTTGCTTTGTGTGTGACGAGCGGTGCGAGCTGGCTGTGATACTAACTTTGCCCGGAACATCACACCAAAAGCCAACGGGAGCCTGCCTGCATGGAGAACCAGTCACAGCCAGAGCAGAAGGGCCATCAATATGCATCTACGCTGCTTCAGCAGCCGACGATCACGCTGAGGCGGATAAATAGCGCGGATAGCAGCATGGGCTGGTCAACCAGCTTGCTGCATTAATCCTGCATCCTTGGTGCAAGCGAGTGCTTCACTCCCGATGCTGCTGCGCCCTTTGGGGAAAAGGAAGAATAAATCTGGGTTTTACCATGTCGAACACTGCATGTAGGCTCCCAACTGACACGTAGACCGTGTCTCATGGCCTGTATGTAGGTAGCCTTTCTCCTACGCTTCCTTGCCATTCGCCCCCTCCTTTACATAACCTACCGTGAAGGTGGTGGTGGTACTGTGGGGATTATGGTATCCGGAATGAAGTGGAATCCCCATATCTGGCTGAGTTCTCGATCGTGGGGTGGGTTCTTCCCGTTGGACAGCGACGGCCCCTTGGGGGAGGAGACACCATAACATGTCTCTACTGGCTGATTCGGTGCATCTGCGAGTCGCCGGCTGGCCAGGGATGTACGGGAAACTCAGCCAGCGGGCTATTTCTAGCACACCAGACTTTTCTCTCTTCAACAATGGGTGCACCAAATATCTGATCTAGTCATGTCGTTGTCCGCACTTCGCTTCTATTGGGCCAATTCTTCCCGTTGATAGAAGCGAAAAGAAAAGAAAGAAACTGCCTCTACTCTAACTACTGGCAACCAGGGTGATCCTTATCTGTGCTGTGGCATTAGGGTACCAAATGCATGGTTGGCGTGAGCAGGTATTTTGCCAATCGGACACGACAGGCTGCAAGTCACTCAATCCAAGGGGCTTGTACTCTGTACGCGGTGTATACTTATGGTAAGACGACCCTAGACGAGGCTGGTCGGGAAGAGAATAATGGATTGTTGAGGTGCTACGGTGTGCACCCTCAGAATACCTAGTCGACAAGTCTCTCTATTGGTGCCATCGGGATGTACGGAATGGAATATAGGTGCCAGGACCTAATGAAAACACATACGCCGTCGACTAAGCAAGCGTTAACAATATCATAAATTAAATTAGATAAGTTCGAAATGAGCGAGAGTTCTTTTTGTTTGTTTTTTTTTGTTTTGGGTCTCCAGGCACCAAGCATAAGGAAAAAGTAAGGGGGAAATGATCGTGTGTCCACACGTCTGAGTAACACAAGACAGTTAGAAAGAAAAGTAAAAATGCCACAAGACCGAAAGAGACTCAGCCCATGGATGATCTGCCTGGTAGCCCATAGAGAATGGAAAAGTTCGTCTGGTTACTTGGATGGTTTGGATAATTTGCGTCGTAGGTGTGATGGTGGTGGTGGTAGTCGTTGGGAAGATGGCTGCCAGGCCTGAATATCTCTTCTCCATATCGTTCCAGGTATGCTTCAGCAAGCAGCTCCATGGTCTGGCCGTCTGGAACCATATCAAAGGTGCTCAAGTTCAGAGTGCGAATGAACTCCCTTTCCAGCTGCTTACCGTCTCTCTCGCGAATCCACTTCATTATAGCGAGAGCATCCCCAACGTCTGGCTCCCTCTTGTCTAGTTTCCCGGAGGCGTATATCCGTCTGATCTTGCGTTCGAGAGCCCACTCCATTGGCGCACCGTAGATGACAACGTTCTCGCCGCGGAACAGGACGATGCCTTGTTTCTTTGCGCATTCCAGAAGGCGAGTGCGTGAGCTCTTGGTCACAAAGAGGCCCATGTCTTCGTTCAGCCATTCTGCATCGTAGCCCAGCTGGTGGGTGATGGTAGCCATGGAGGCGTAAAGGGGGGTCTTGATATCTTCATCTTTAGACCATTCGGGGTCGAGGAGGAAATCGAGCTCGAAGGCAGTGTTACGGCATTTGAGATATTTGAGACAGAGGAACTCGCCTGAGCAGAGTAGCTGGATGGGAGCGAAGGCAGTGATGAATGCGTCTTTGCTCAGTTCTTTGTCCAGAGCTTCCAGGGCTAAAGAAGAGCTGTTAAAATGACGAAAAGACCATGGGTTATAACTACAGAATATATGTCGACAAGAGTGAAATAAAATAAAAAAAGGTAACAAAAAAATAAAAAATAAAATAAAAAGGACAGGATAGATAGCAAGGCGAACCTGTTTCGAACCCCCTGAGGTCTATCTCAGTTCGATCTTTCTCCTCCACATAACGTCTACCCTCAGACAACATACCGCGCGCAGAAATAGTATTGTTTCTCAACACGGGGTCAGAACTTGTCAGGACGGACTAAAATGGGTGTTGTATAGCACAGATGGCGTAGGCATGCTAGATGGAGCAGAAAGAGGGCGAGAGGAAAGGGAGCAAAGGCGAAGAGAGCCGCAGGAATAATGGCCGGACGGATGAAGTAGAGATAAAGTAGCGACGCGGGAGGGAGGGAGATATAGAAATCAGGGCGAGACGGAACCAGGCCCCCCGGACGGCAGTGACAGCAGATTGGCAGATTCGATTTTTAATGGAGCGTACTATTTATTGCTGTTGTTATTATTTTATGGCGATAAACCCGTTTCCCGCCATAAATCCAGCATGGAACTTAGCCCTAGGCGGTCGAGATGCAGCAGGCTAACGCACCAGAAGACGGAAGAGAGGAGGGGGCCAGGCAAGGAGTCCCCCGGCGTTTCCCCATCCTCAGCAGCCAGTCATCTGGCGGGCGATTTGATGTCTGCAGCCGCGAGACACAGGACGAAGCCGGGCACCCTGCATCCAGCCATACAGGAGAGAGAGCGGCAGACGGCACGCCAGACAGGGAGCTGCGTCGTCCTGTACGCATGTACGTATGTACGGATTTCCGTAAGCGTGTGTGGTGTGTGTCTGTCGGTACGAGCAATGTATTCATGTACCAGCCGGGCCCTAGTCGAATTCGAGCGAGACGAGACGAGGCCCGGGAAAAGAAAAGAAAAGAAAAGAAAAATCCTCTGTGGGAAAATGGACCAGAGACCAGAGGCAGCCAGAGCTAGAGAGAGACAGCCATGGATGGGGAGGATGGGATGGACCTGGGGGGGATCCACCGTCTGCCCGTCGAGCTCTCGAAGACAGTTAGAGTCGACGGAGTTTTCTTGTAGCTAGCTCAATGTATTATTGCATCATGCTGGGTCTGCTCTCAGGCGAATCTAGGCGTGGGCAGTTTAAAAGAAGAGACGGATCCTGTTGCCGTCTCGTCTGGCAGAGTTTTCCTTCTCACTCCTGTCCGCTGCTGCTCCTCTGCCTCCCTCCCCCTTTTACCCATGGCCCCGGATGTCTCTCTTTGATGCGGTCACAAAGGATATGTGCGAACCATGGCATGTTCGGTACATACGGGCGAGTACGCAACAATGGCGAGAAAACAGCGTATCAGGCGGAATCCTTTAATCGCTCGTTGACACATGGATAATGGCTCGTTTTTCTGGAAAGGCATCCTCGCAAGTCCCTCCCGCCAATCCGCCGCGCATCCGTCCCAGCCCATAGGCCAAAACTCCGATGAGCAACGCTACGACAGCCCGTATGGATGGATGGCTTCCGCAAGCTTCCTCTCCCCCCCTGGATACTGTAAGCTCTGGCACTCACGCTGGAAGTATCAAAAGTATCAGCCAGACTCCGGATGAGGGGGGAATCAAATCCTTGGGCTTCGAGCTGGACTTCGCACCCTGTTTGATTGGCTCTCTCGGGCAGAGGGCGATAGGCAATACCGAGGGAAATTTGAGAGCAACCTTCTCGCTGTGTGTGTCTTGTTCTCCATGTGACTGGGCACCCTGTCTCGCATTGATAGTGCATCCCGTATCTTGCGTTCTGACCCCTAACACACGGTCCCGCTGGTAGGTAGCCACTCACTGTAACCAGCGCAGCATCGCCCTGTTTTACGATGGTAATTAGCTTTGGGGGATCGCGGGAAGAGGAGTTCTCATGCCATTTTGGATCCACGGTTCCGTCGTACCTTATGCTTATCCTCCAGCAGCCAGGCGGCTCTGAAGGTTTGGCCCATGACGGACGGGGTCAAGGCCGGTAAACCATGGACGGGCGGCAGCACGGATCATGCATGCTGTGACCTTTTACTTCTTCAAGCAACTGGCTGAAGACCTTGTCCCGTACAGAGCACACTCTTCTTGCGCTGCTCCCAATGGGAGTCTTCTCAGGGGCCACTCTTCCTTTCTATCCGACAGGCGGGGACAACAATGCGAACCCCTGGGCTATTCAACCACGGCCCCCTCTTTTCTCATTCATCCTTCTGGCCCGTGAGGGTTTCTGCCTGATATGCGTATATACTTGTATACCTGTATACGGAGTATTGTCGGTGAGGCCGCTGGCTGCACGCGTGACTGGTCGTCGGGGCTCCTTCACGGTTAATGCCTGCGGATTTGGAAACACGCCCGGTGTTTTCCCATACGATGCTGTATACGATGTATACACCGCAAGAGTGCATTGCTAGCTGTGTTTTATATATATAAATAAACACGAGAAAACGGCTTGCATCGAGTTCTCCACTGAGTCTCCACGGACTACTGCAGCCTTAATTAACTCTTTGTCGCCGGCGTCTTGCTTTTGAAAAGAGGAGCTGGGGTGCATATCGCATATTTCATGCTCCAGCTCGAGCTTCACATCCATGCAGAAGTAATCCACCAGCCGGCGAACAGACCTCTTGATGGGGATTATGCTTGTCTAGAAGGCGTTTGTTGGTACTGTCAGCGTTGAGCCCCGTCTCTGACCAGAGATGGGTGTGTAATGTTGATGTTGATGATGTTGTTGCTGGACTTTTCACTGCCAGATCTGTCCCTAAACAGATGAAAAATGGTTTAAATCTCCGTTCAGACTCGAGGAATATCAATCTAGAATACAGTTAACGGAATTCCTTCTGTATTAATGACGGGATGATACCTGGTAGTCCCAGTGGGGGCGTGGTAGGAAAACTTGAAGCTGATCAAAGTCACCACCAAAGCCAGCCTGTTGATACCCGAATATAGCTTCTAGTAAAATCCTAAAAATGCATTGATATCATTGTTATCATCACCCTGAAAGGCTTTCTAGATGCTTCACCACTCTGTATGGGCGACAGTTCCCGTCACACAGTGAATGGGAATTTGGTAGTATAAAAGTATGTATTTTTTCTGCTTCTTCCACTTCAACTTCCTATAGACTTGGAAGAAACAAGAAGTCCCTTATCACTGAAGCAAGAGGAGGCTGTCTCTCCCACCATCTATCACAGGTACTCAAACAACTATCTCATCGAGTTGGTTGTTCTGTCACCTATTTGGCATACTAATATTTGATATCCACCGTCTGCCAGAAGCGTCTCAGAACATGGCTCAACCCAAGGCAGACACAAAGGAGGAGTCTGCAGCCTCTGATACCTGGGTAGATGTCAAGGCTGAAGCTGGACCAGAAGTGGAAATGATGTAAGTCGCTAGATGCCAGCAGGTCGAACAGTTTTTCCTTCTACAAGGCAAAATACTAACCTTCATGATAGCAAGAGCCCCTACGCCACTAAGGCTGCCATGTTCCGCACCTTAGATGGCACAATCTTCTCGGTTCCAGAGGGCTTCGTCTCCAAGCTGCCAACGTTGGTTAGACTCCGTGAAAAGGCTCAAGACGGGGTTACCAATGTGTCATTTGACAATGAAGTAGCCCATGTATTCTTCCACCACCTCTGCACTGGGCAATTTCAACTACCATTCAGTGAACCTAATTGGGGTTGGGACCATCCGAAACTTTCGCATACACTCTGGAAACTGAAATACAGCCTTCGTGTCCTCGCTGCTGCGAAGAAGTATGGGTTCTTCACCCTGGAATGTAGTGCAAAGACCAGTATGGAGGAGGATTACAAAGATCTTCCGCTTACCGTCTTGATAGACCATATCCAAGAGAACTTGTCTTGTTTCAAAGACGAGATGATCTGGCTTGGTGAACAGATGGAAACTGCGTTGGAAACTGCGCTTAGCCACAATCCTTCCATCTTCAAGGATAATACCCTTCTCGAGAAAATTGGGCACTCTCCAGAATTTGACAGACTGTTGGTTCAAGTTATAGGAGAAATGTACAAACTGCTACATGTTAAGGATTCCGAGGAGGATCCAGTGGCACCAAATCCATACTTCGCTTGGTCATGTGAGCCCTGTGACTTCTAGTCAGACCATTGAAAGGGGCAAATTCGACAAGGGATATTACACTCTTCTTAGAGAGCATAGAGCTCATTATTTCATTCCTTAACTTCTTACTGGCCTGTTGCACTTCATTAGCGATGCGATTTACTAGCTAGCACGGCTCAACTTGAAATGAGAATACACCACAGGTTACATTGTGTCCAAAAGTGAAAAAGCCCTAGCAACCAATTCAGTCAAACAATATTTGGTAGCTATCAAGTATTGATCTTTTTTCACATATCAAAGATTAACCTCATTCGAAGTTAATATTCGCAGCTTTCAATTCATCTTTTATAAAAGTACCAATCTGAAACACTCGCCAAACTGCAGAAGAAGGGATAAGAAAGAAAAGGAGCCAATATCAAAAGTTGGTTGAAAGTTCGATGAGCGTTTGGTGAAGGGGGGAGCCACTGAGGATATACATACCTCTCTCTGTCAGGAGGATCAAGCTACAAGAGCACCAACACCAACACCAAGCTACCAAACATCCTCGATATACCATTCATCCTCCTCTCAGCTACCAAATACTCCCTTGGTTACTGTCAGTTACTGAAAGTATTAATTCTATTTCAGACTTGACATTTCACCTTGCTCACCGTTACTTCCCGTTCTTTAGCCGGCTCCTTTGTCTCGGCTAAGGTTCACTTCACCTTTCCCTCATTTAATTTGGAGCTTTAGGGCTAAGTATACAGAGGCTATAGCGACCTTCAGTCTTGTCCTTCAGGATTCAAGCTCCTTTTCCCTTCTCTTCTGCTAAAAAACTTGGTCAGCAAAATAGGAACGCAGTATTGCTTGTTGGAGCAAGAGACGTGTTGTCTGCAGGCATAAGAGACACTCCAAGAGGTACACCAGAAGAAACTAGCATGTCGGGATCATCTTCAGACTCGGGAGAGGGCAAATCGTAAGAATCCTGTTCTTAAATATTTATTCTTGAATATTCAGGGGTTGACGAAACGTTGCTAATCTTTTCCAGCCCCTATGCTTCTCCTATATGCATCATCTTCTTTGGGGACAGCAAGATAGGATATCTGGTCCATACCCGCTTCATTGAGAAGTATGAGTCATTGATGGAGTTATTTCGTGAGAGCCAAGGGGGTATCTGGCTCAACGATGTACACGAATCTGTTGCATATTCGTTCATTGAATACTTGTATTCCGAAGAGCTTTGCTATGAGGCCTCAGACAAGCATGCTGAAGACCTTGAAGTCACCCTTCGCCTCATATATGCTGCAGGGGCTTACGACTTATACGGCCTGTATTCTGATGCGCATGGAGAGATGAGAGTTATGGCGCGTCTGGCAAAAAGTTCCGAAGTACTCTTCATCGCAAAGAAAATGCATGCATCTTTCAAGGGACAGAAATGGTTTTTTGAGTTGATAAAGTCCACATTAGAGTTTGACTTTAGATACCCAGACAGTGACCTCCCGGCAATCATGGAGCAGGTCATCGACGATAGAGAAGAAGATGGAGATTTTGCCAAGTTGTTAATTAAAGCTCTGACGGAAATCCTGATTGAAAAATCCGGAACTAACAGCCCGTGATTGTGAACGAAAAGCGATGACCTGGCATCAACAGAGGGCAGCAGTCTACCGGGAGCTTACATTTCACTTAGTGTTTAGAGGAAAGGAAATGAGAAAATGACGGTCAATCCCTGTTATCATACTACTAAGCAATTCAATTTGAATGACCAGTGAATTAAAGACGAGAGTCTAACCCCTCATAACTACATTACAGTAATGTAACGGCTCTAGCGTCTGCATAATGTTACTGGCTCTGAGAATATCGGCCAGTTCATCTATTAATGCTAAAAGCTGATTGACAAATTAAATTATCAATTCGAGGATATATAAGATGGCCAGAATAGTAGACCCATCAGCGACCTTAGTACTGTCCGTCAATGGTGAGTGTTCCAGTCTTTGTGATCATGAACTCGGCGACAGCAACGTCCTTCCCACTCTCCTTGCCATATCCTGACTCCTTTATGCCACCAAATGGTGACTCGGCAGCGGATGAATTGCCTATATCAGTGGAATTAGACATTGTACTATTCGCAACATGTAAATGAGGATTCATACCTGTGTTGAGTCCGATCATGCCCGCTTCCAGATTCTCCAGCATTCTCCAAATCCGGTCAACATTCTTGGTGAAGGCATAGCTAGCTAGGCCCATGCTTGTATCGTTGGCGCATTTGACAGCTTCCTCCTCGGTATCAAATTTGTATAGCGCTGCGATGGGCGCAAAGGTTTCCTCTCGGGAGATGAGCATCTCCGGCTTCATATCGGTTATGATGGTTGGCTCAAAAAAGTAACCATCACAACCAGTCATCGATTTACCACCTAGGATGACGTTGCCTCCCAGCTTCCTTGCATCTTCCACTTGGCTCAAGGCCTTGTCGAGGCCTCGCGGTGTAGTAACTGGCCCCATTGTAGTTCCGTCCTTTGCACCATGGCCAACAACTAGCTTCGAGGTTCGTTCTTTGAACATCTGAGCAAACTTATCGTATACTCCGCTCTGAACGTAGACTCTGTTGGCTGTGATACATGCTTGTCCAGCGTGACGCCATTTAAGCGCCATGAGCTGGATAAGCGCCTGGTCGAGGTCGGCGTCGTCAAAGACGATGAACGGGCAGTTTCCTCCAAGCTCAAGAGTGACTTTCTTCAGTCCCTCAGCGCAATGAGCGGCAACGAGTTTTCCCACGCGTGTAGAGCCAGTGAAGGTGACCTTTTTAACGTCGGGATGCTTGCAAAGGGCCTCGCTGAGAGAAGGGGTATTGTCGAGGTCTGTGGTCAGCACATTAAAGATACCAGGCTCGTAACCTGCCCGCTTAGCGAGCAGTGCAAGCACCAGCGTAGTAATGGGTGTTTCTGGGCTGGGTTTCGCAATCATAGTACATCCTGCAGCAAAGGCAGCTCCAGCTTTCCGAAGAATCATAGCGATAGGGAAATTCCATGGCACCAACGCTGCCACGACACCGATAGGCTGTTTGATTGTGAAGACTCTTCGATTGGGTGCAGCAGGAACAGCAACAGTGCCATGTATTCTCTCTGCCTCTCCGGCAAACCACCAAGTAAAGCCGAGGGCATAGTCAATCTCGCCCAGTGACTCGGCAATCGGCTTGCCAGTCTCATGAGTCAGGATCTTTGCCAGATCAGGTCGAGCATCACGGATGAGCCCGTCCCATTTCATGAGCAACTGGGCTCGAGTGCGAGGGTTCACTTTTCTAAACTTCTCAAAGGCAGCCTGAGCAGCTTCTACAGCCCTTGGGACATCTTTCGTAGTGCTGGACGGGCAGCTGGCCCAGGGCTTTCCGGTACCAGGATCTATCAATATATTAGAAGCTTCCTAGATTATATCATATTGGGGCCATTGCTTACCGATGACTTCGAATCGACCTCCATCGCTAGCAGTAACCCATTCGTTGTTCACAAAGGAGTCAAAGTGGAGGAGACTGGGATCATCCAGCTAGACTATAATAAGCACATAATAGATGGTAGAGATATTAAAAGATCGCTTACTGTGAAGGGAAGCTGGTATTCTTTCGCCATCGTGATCTATCTTGTCTCTTCTGTCAAACTAATCCCTGCGGCTCGAGTAATTGTCTATTGTCTATCTTTCTGATCATCCCCGCGTGGTGGTGAATCTGATAGATTCTTGCTCCATAGGTATTTATGTTTATTCCCCGCAGCTTTTTAGCCGAAGAGAATCACCGAGATCCGGCACCTGTGCCGTAAAGTCCGGCTTAATCAGAATATCAAAGTGACCTTCAGCTCGCCGTTATTATTAATGAACAAGGATAAATTTGATGTTGATGCTGATGCTGATGCTGATATTTGCTGTATAAATAATGCTTGAGCGATGATAATAATAGATAGGCCCCCTACAGCCCAGAGTGCTGACCGGTAAGGGATCGAGCCACTGGAGAGCAAAGAGGCTGGGCTTATCGAGCTGATCCCTGAAGCCCTGGCAGACCCAGCGAGATATCTTCCGTGAGCTCTGCGTGCTGGGGCGATGGTTAATATACGACTTGCTTACACCCCTGGGGATGTGTTGGACGGTCCGTTCAGGGGTAACCGAGACGCTGACTCTTGATATGTCCAACTCGTCGCTTGACGGGATTCGGTCTCCTTGTTCTGGTCTGTCCCATATGCTGGTCAATACTCCATAATCTGGACTCTGGAAGAAATAGGAATCCAGACCCCAAAGGTGATCTATCGATCTCGCGTGTGCATCTGCACCAGCCATCCGCCACTTGGCCAGGAGGAAAAAAACAAACAAGAGATCTGGCAACTTGCTTCGATGCGAGCGTTCCGCAAATCTGGTCTCAAACGGGCTGCTGTGCTACCTCGCCGGCGCCTTGGGCCAATGGTACTGGCTGCCCTGCCTCCATCCAGCTGGTTAGTTATTGGTGGATGTAGATATCGCATCCATGGAATAGTTATGTATAACATGTACGGTTTCGACGGGGTTGTTGTCCGCAAAAATATGTATGGGAGATACAGTGCATCCCCAGGCGAGTACTTGTAGCATGCTTATAAGGGGCAATGCAGGCCAATGTCGATATATAAACATGGGGATACCGCGCCAATGGATCCCAGGAGCGCAGCAGGAGTATAACCATCCTCTCTGTGCCCAAGAAGAGTTCAAGCCTCTGATTCAATTAGTTCTTAGGTTTGCTGCGAGAGTCGATCTCTGAATAATTATTCTGCTGCAGTTGATCACTCGGCTGAGATAGTGTGTGCTTCGGTGGCTTGGAACGCACCCAGACTATTGATCAGTTGCCAAACGCCGTGAGCTCTGCCAACCTGTATGTTTCGACGTCTTATATATGTCTGATTCCGCACAGCCCGTCACCTCTCGCTCTCCAACTCTCTGGCTGCGAATATGACTGCCGATATCTCTTCGGATTCACCAACTCACTGGTCTCCCCTGACAGCCCATCTCCCGCTGCGATGCAAAGTCCATCCGCCACCACAAGCCTCCGGCCGATTCCCACCCCCACCGGCGAAGCCTATGAAGAGGTGCTAGAAGCTGAGGACGCCAACAAGCGAAAGGTCCTCGTCTCGGTCCTCGGTCCGTTCTTCGGCCTCTGTGTCCTTATCATCGCCATCTCGCTAGCCATCCGGCACTGGAGAGAAAAACGAAAGCAGAGCAACGTGAGATCCGCCACGGAGATGGTCCAGTGTCCAGATGATGCAAGCTCTGTGCCGTATTCGCCTACGTTCAGCAAACGTTCAAGTGCAAGGGACATAGAGGCGCCTCCCTGGAGGCCCAAACCCGCGCGGACCGAGCTAGCTTCACCAATCGAATCAATTGAGTAGCGCTCTTCTTTTCTTTTCTAGCGATAAATGTTTGCTTGGGACACAACATGCACTGGGACAGGCGCTGAGAGTGGAATTGGACCGGGGACTGGCATTGATTGTATCTGCGGCTCAGCTGGGGATTTTGCATCAGATCTGATTATGGTTATTTATGTCCGCTGTTTTTCAGCTTGGAGTTTCTGGGGGTAGCGTCACGATAGTTCACGCATTTCATGGCCTTTTCCTTTTACTGTTGATTGTTTGTTATTTCGTTCTTTTCTTGCCGATTGCATCATCTTACGACTGCGCGATGTATCGTTGAATATTGGCCGTGTTATGCTGCTCAGGGGGGATTTTGATATGCGGCTGAAACAAGCGGAATAGGAGAAACAATCATCCTCGACTTTTCTTCGACTTCAGCTTCAGCTTCCAACGACGACGGAGAAGAGATGGAGGATGATAGTGATGCTGATGTATTCTTCTATCATCTAAAGAACTATCGCTGCATAGATATCTGAAGCACTGGTAGACGTCGTCTCTTGGGGAGCGCTATCAAATCGACCACCGAGATGGCCGACATCCTGACCTTCTACCACTTCAACGATGTCGTGAGTTGGTTCTACCAGGTAGGACCGGGACTTGCGTACTCGGATTTGCTAATAAAGACGATAGTATCACATCTCAAACGCGGACCTTATATCCAAGTTTGCCCATGCCGTCAGTCAGGCCAAGCAGGACGGTAAAGGCTCAGATATCCAGCCCCTGACCATATTCAGCGGAGACGTCTTTTCTCCTTCTACTGAATCGTCAGTGTTAAAGGGCGAGCATATGGTCCCTGTTCTCAACCATCTTGATATCGATCTTGCATGCTACGGGAATCATGGTAGGGCCAGTTGATTTCTACACGATACATATACCACTTAAAGCTATTCAATATGAATATTAATCTTGTATCCAGACTTCGACTTTGGTGAAAGCCGGCTCATCGAGCTGTCAGAAAAGACGAATTTCCCATGGATACTATCGAATGTAGTACATACAACACCCCGTAATAACCCGGATTCCCACGTGCGGGGTGACAGCCTGCTTGCTTCTGCACAGGAGTACGTTATCAAGACGATGGGACAGTACAAGGTCGGATTCATTGGCCTAGCCGGGACGTAAGTTCTTACGCCTCTTGTAGCCGTGTCCTTATTTTGGGCTCTCTGGGGCAAATATATCTAGTTGAGTGGTAGTGTTGACGGCTGATATTCTGCATCAGAGACTGGCCGTCAAACTGTCAGCATCTACCAGCAGCAGCTTGCTTTCTGTCTCCAGCTGAAGTGGCCCAAAAACTGGCCAGGCATTTACGTATCGTGGAAGGATGTGATTTCGTTATCGCCGTTACACATATGCGCCTTGTTGAAGACCTTTCTGTGTCAAACGCTACTTTGGACGGAGATGAGCGTATTGATTTACTCCTGGGAGGCCATGACCATGATGTTGTTTGTCGGATGCTGGGTGACACCGACGATAACCCAGGGATTATACTCCAAGGAATAACGGATAGTGCCTCTAGAATTCGAAACGGAGAAATAGTGCACATTGAGGGTGATGTAAGAGTCATCAAAAGTGGAACAGACTGGAGATCCTACTCCGTCGTACAGTTGAGAGTTCGAAAAGAAAGTGACGGCAAAGCACAGCTTGACAATGTTGAAGGTGCACAATGACATATTCCTTTTGCACTCATGTCACTATTCGAAACGCATATTCTGACCTCAAGTATAGTCACTCAGTATTTGGACGTTACTCAGACGCAGTCTTACCAGACAATGCCGAGGTGTTCTGAGACGCTATCAATTCTTGGATCGGTTCAAAACCAGATAATGGATGCTGTTCGACATCCGCTGTTTCACACGCGTGTGCCACTCGACGGCCGTTCGACTGTTATTCGCAGTCAAGAGACCAATCTAGGCAACATACTAGCTGATGCAGTTAGGGCATTCTACGATACCGATATTGCATTTATCAACAGTGGAGGAGTGAGGTGTGACAGGATTATTGCAGAGACCAATGGGCATAACGCATTGAAAATCAAGGATATCATAGGTGAGAAGCGCGCTGTCCAGCTCAAATACGAGAACACTCAAAGCTTACGTCTTGCAATTACAGACATTATGCCTTTCGATAACGCATTCGTTGTCAAGAGAGTCGGCGGAGCAACGTTGCTCTCTGCCTTGGAGAATTCCGTCAGTGATTCCCACACGGATGGACGTTTCCTGCAGGTTTCTGGCATGCGATTCAAGGCTAGTTGGCAGAGGCCGGAAGGAAGCCGTATTCTCGAAGCATTCTTCGAACCAAAGGTTGGTGCACTGGTGAAGATTGACCCTGGACGGACTTATACGATCGCAATGGTTTCATTTATAGCTACCGGCTTCGACGGATATGACTCCTTCAAGGCCGAAGAGACTCTGGTCGATGCTGAGAGTGCAATGACAGATACTAGCCTGATGCTGCAGATATTCAGACACTCCCGGAAATGTAATAATGCACAGAACTGTCAACCGGACAGTACTGATGGAGAAAAGAAAGATAACGGCGAACCTGAAGAAGACGACAGGACTGAAAAGGGGGTAAAACGGGCCATGAAGGCGATTATCACCGGGTATGATGATGCCGACGGCTTACCAGTTGTAAGCCCAAGTATCGACAATCGATTGACCTTCGTCTCGACACGCTGCGCCAATTGAATCTCATGTGTGAAGTGATCCTCTCAGAAAATAGCAGGGATAAAAGGAGTCAGGATAGAGGAAGGAAAGATCCCTACCGAGTTACCGAACTACTCCGTAACCTCGTATTTGTCGAGTCAAGGGCGCAGACGTTAACGCGGTTCGCAACAACATCTTCCCTCAGCTCTGATATGACGCCAGCGAGCTATCAAGGATAGGGCGTGAAGCGTATTTACTATTATCAAGTCAAAATACATATATATACCCTAATCATGTTGAAAGACCACGACGATTTTGAGTACATTATCCTCGACGGCCACCAACTCCGCGAGCATCCATGCCGTGAACCACTGTTGAAGTTGGTAAATAAGGCATTCTACGAAGGTGGCCAGGCAGTATTCAGCGGCAAGCTGAGCCGCTTCGAGAGCCTGGAAGAGCTGCTCAAATCAGTGGATGATTATGCCAGATGCTGCATCCTCTTCCAAAAGACTCCAGGACAAACGACGAGCGACTGGACCGATCCTGTCGCTACAGCAGTGCTGCGGCCGTATAGGGAGGAAATTGTCGGATTGCCAGATATCAAACCCCAGCCGGTTGATGCATCTGGTAATGTATTGACGGACCGTAAAGACACTGATGCCAAACCCGAATACCGCGCACAGCCTGGTCCCTTCAACGGAAGCAAGGGAGACAAGAGAGACATCCTGTCCATCGCCGTGTGGGAACCGGTATCTGTCGCCGTGAAGCGTGATCCGAGTGTGCTCCGCAAGGGGCTGGCTACTCGCTGTCTCGCACTTTTAGAGGCGGATCTCTGCTCCCGGGTCAAAGAAGCGAAGCTGAATACACTCAGACAAGACGCCGATGGAGCTGGTCATGCACGATGCGAAGGCGACCCCCTGACAATCCGGCTACGGGCAACATGGGAGATCAACGGTGAATACTGGAGCCGACGGGGCTTCACGCCGGTCGAGGTCCGCAGAGTCCCAGCGGGTGTATGGGGCGCAAAAGTGCCTTTCCGCCTGATGACTATGACGAAGAGGGTATCCTGTCCATCTGATACAGACGATGCATAGATGTTGGATTGCTTTGGTAGCGCCAGTTCAGCCTGTACCCCCTACCACCCCCTAAGGCTCCCCCTTTCCGCTGTCTTCCTCGGGCATAACAACACTTCATCCTGGCTCTGTCTATTAATATACAGACACCCAAGACTGTCCAAGAGCCAACAGGAACCAAAAGACGAGCCGTGTTCTTGCCCCATCCTGGCTGTGATATGCATCCGCTGCTCCATGCTATTTGTTGGTGGCGCATCCGGGATGCATCGACGGCGGCTATAAACATCTCCCTATTAATAACCCAAGTCAATCAATATAACCAATTTGAACAGCCACTTAGGCACTTGTAACTATTGAATATGCCGAATACTTCTCCCGTAGACGGTTAATAAAAAGCTGAACCATCCTCTGTATGTCTTTAAATCCTCCAGGGCATCACAATTCCAACTCTTCCCGTCCCCCGAAGAGTCATGATCCCTGCGGCGCCATCCGTGATGCCTCCAGTGACAGGCAGCGATATCCACAGGCTGACCATTTAGCTGCATGCCTAGCTGCGTCCTAACTGCGCCTTTTGCGGGCGCCTGAAGATCCTGGGGGCGGGCGCCAACGCAAGGTCTGGCAAGCTAGAGTCATGCAGCGCTTGCGCCGGCCACCAGACTCGCTCCAGTGATCGATCGCCGCGCAAGCAAAGACGACGACGACGGAGAAGAAGAAGAAGAAGAAGCAAAGGGAGCACAGCGGCTGGACGGGCTGGCCGTCGATGGGCGCGTAAGAGGCCATGGCTGGCCATATAAACTGTCCTGCCTGCGCTGTCCTCCATCCTCAGCCTTCTGCTTCTGCTTCTGCTTCTGCTTCTCACCACGATCCCCAGACAGACCGCGAGCCAGCTACCACACCCGGAATGCCGCCGCTGAAACCTCCTTTCTCTCCTTCCTACAGGCAGTCTGCCGTCGATGCCGCTGCTCACGGTGCGCCGGGCGACGGGAAGACACCGCAGGCTGGGCCATCTTCAGCCGGACCGCTGCACATCAAGCTCGATCCCATAGGCACGCTGCCGACCATCGCCCGCGTCAAGGAGCCGTACACCGAGCGAGAGACGAGACACGGCAGCCATTTAGTATACCTGGTGGAGGATGAGGGCATCGACAGGTTCGTCGCCGGCGACTTGAGCGTCAAGCGGCTGAACGACATCCACGGCCTGCTCTGGATGGCTGGACGACCGCTCAACGCGCGCAAGATGCAGCGGTACAAGATGATCGGCTTCGAATTCCTGCCCACGGAGCAGGCAGACCTGCATCTCATCCATTTCTCGAACAAGATCTACATCAAGTCGCTGCCGGACTACATCCTCGACTACGACTTTTGGGAGAAATACCTGTGCAAGGACAACGAGCTGCACAAGCTGGCGTGCGGCTTCTTGCTCTCCTGGGTCTGGCTGATATGCTCGCCCATCGACCTCCAGCTGGCCAAGGACGCCCATCTCGTCTCGCCCCGGATTACCTGGCCCTGGTGGAAGCAGTTTGTCAAGGACTTCAACCGGCACGTCGACTTCAACACCCTCAAAGAGGTCAACAAGCGATATCACTTTGGCGAGCTCAGGCTGGGGCGCATCAACACTATCTTCCGCCTGCGTTTCTTCCGCTCGCACTTCATCCGTGGCTATCTGTACAGCTACAACCGGTACCAGGTCTTCTTTGAACGCAACTTTGGTTGGCTCATCGGAGCATTCGTGTATATCTCCGTCGTGCTATCGGCCATGCAGGTCGGCACCGCCATACCGCCGTTGAACGAGAGCGTGGCCTTCCATAGGGCGTCGTACGGCGTAGTCGTCCTGTCTATCGTTGCCGTGGCTGCTTGCCTCGTCTTTGTCGTCATTCTCTTCTCCTGGATCTACCTCTACAACATGGTTGCTGCCATCTGGCACTCACGCAGCGAGCGGCAGAAGAGGAAGAAACTCGCTTCCCAGCGTGCTGAAAAGACTGAGCTCGCTGACTGAGTTTCTTAAAACAAAAAAGGATTCCCTCCTTTTTCTTTTACTTTTTTTACGATACACGAGACTGTATGATCATGTTATTCATTCATGGCAGATGGAGTTCACGGGGTCTGAAGCATATATATCTATTATATCACATGTGTTAATTTGTTTGTCTCATGGCCATGGATTCAAAAGCTTCGAATCCACACATTACTCTTGTTCATATAGCTATGCATATTTACCGGAATAACAGGTTTCTTTTACTGGATTTGATTGTTATGGTACTATTTCAGGGGTTCTATTCATTCCATCTAATTTGATATAGAATTAAATACCTGAAAAGCAGGAATGCCTCCCTCCGTATTGATAATCTAGTTTTGAAGGTCATCAAGAGATTCACTGAGCGTCTGGATCATGTTCATCAACTCAGCCCTCCGGCCCGCTCTGTCCACCGGCTCGCCTGCAATACGGGCAACCTCGAGGTCAGACATCTCCAGAACAGACGTTGGAGAGAAGATGGCAGGAAGCTTGGAAATAAGATGTCGTTCGATCACCTGGCGGCAGATATTGTCGACAAACGTCTTCATTGCAACCTATTAAAAGATGGCTCAAAATTAGCTAGGGTTGGTAGATGCTATCAATCAAATCAAATTCCTTACCTTGTAGTAGGCATTGAGGGCAGTCTTTGCTTCCTCACATGCCCGTTTGTCCATATCAACAATGACTTTTCTTTCTAGCATCAGCCCTAGCCGGTTGTGGTAGGCGGCTTTTCTATCATCTTCATCGCAGCTTTCATCTCCCCTATCGTAATAGCTAGATCTAACCCCCTCGTGGCCCATATCAACTTCACTAAGGGCAGAATAAATCGCACTCTTCATCTCATCGTGACGGGCCTTTTCAATGTTGTCCGTGTAGTAATGATTGTAAGTGATCGGCGGCATCTTTTCGTCCTCACAGATGCTGTTCAGCTCTGTGAGCGCCGCAGCCAAGTTCTTCTGTAGGATAGCTTTCATAGAACGCCATAGCTCACTGCGAACCTTTTCTTCCTTGACAGAGTAACTGAGAGAGTGCTCAACAAAGCTGCATATCAATTTGTGAACTTTGTTGGTGTGGCCACGGGCTATCGATTCCCAGCGACTTGATTGAGTGTGGAAGAGCTCCATCAGTAGAGTGTAGCCATATGTTCCACTCAGTTCTAACCCCCGAGAGTTTTTGTAAGCCTGGACATAAAGGATTAGATTAGCACTTCATTCCAAAGTATACTTCCACGATTATGAGGGATCCATCAGTTATGTAGGTTAGGGGATTACCGTTAGAATCCACGTATCAACTCCATTGTCAAGAGTGTCTGGTTTCCCCCATTCCACTGGAAAGGCTATATCATCATCGTTCTCGTCCTCCATTGCATCAGAACTGTCCTGGTTGTTGGTATTGTTGTCCTTCCCTTTCTGCCTTAAGTCATATTTATGAGATTTTGAACGCATAAACTTAGAAAATATGGTGTTAAGTTCGTGGATTCTAGCACGAATTCGATTGACGAATTTGTCTTTAGACTTCACGCTGAAAAATCGCGAATACATGCCTTGGTACGTCCCACCGGCGGCAGCTTGTACAAGCCCCCGAAATTGCAAGCTTAATTTGGTCAGGAAAAGCCTCTGGGCCTGAGTATTGGGCCGTTCTTCACCAAGTTCATCGACTTCTTTTTGGGCATCCTCCAGCAATTTCAATATCTCAGAGCATACTTTGGGTAACTCGTTTTCGATATGACGTGCAAGAAGCACTTCTAGCGAAGACTTGAGTGCATCGATACCGACTCTGTCCGGGTTAAGCTGTTGATTCTTCCAGCCCGGTCTCTGAAACCAGCTGAGCTCCTTTCTTTTCCTGTCTTCAGTAGTCATCCCAGCTTCGATCTCCTTTGGAGACGGGTTTTTGAGCAGGTAATATCCGAGCTTGAGTTTGATAGGGCCATGGTTTTTCGCCACAGCAGCAATTCTATCCTCAGTTCCATCATTGATGAGATCAGTTTTGGTGACAATACCAACGGTCCTCACCCCTTCTTTATCAAACTGCCTTGCTGCCCGAATGATTGGCTGCGTTTCCACATCACTTGTTGCTGGGACTACAGCAAGGATAATGGTGCGTGAATTCTCAAGGTAGGAGTCAACCAGATTTTCCACGACAGAGCTATCGTCACTCTCCGCACCAGACACAAGCCCTGGCAGGTCAACTATGGTAAGATGAAGCCCCGTTTCGCCAATGACTTCAATTCGCAAAACATCCAGTGCAAATGGAGGAGCATTCTGTTCATCTGTGAAGCCCCTTAACCCCATAAGAGCTCCAACAGCTTCAATGACATCGGGTAGCTCGTTATATCCAAGAAGATTTTTCCTATAACTTCGAAGACGCGTTGCTGTTGCCTCATCTCGGGAGGAGTGGGGAATTATGGTTGCAGTAATAGTCTTCTCGCCAGGGGAATGACGGAGGACTATTTCGGTAGCAAACCTGGTACACAGCCCATCCTTTCGAGGGAATGGAATCTCCGTAATGCCTTCAAGGACTGAGCTTTTCCCTGCAGATTGGTCACCACAGACGACCAACTGTGGAAGAGAGATGTGGTCTCCAGCTCCGCGAGCTCGGGCCTTGTCGATCTGGTTCAGCTTCGACTTAATCGTAGCTGATTCAATCATGATGTCGACGGCGTCGAAGCCCGTGGTCTGAAACTCTGTGGAGAACTGAAAGGTCTATGTCAGATATAGGTGCTTTGGAGTAGAATATGTGAACCTTTTATAGGGCAGCTTTGAACTAGAAGAGGTTCAAATGAACCATCCGAGCAAAGGAAATATTGAGAAAGTCCTAGCTTTAGAAAGATTTTTCTTTCTAATCGTCGGACCGTGGATATCAGTTTTTCCAGTTTAAATGAATGAATGCATGATGCCAATAATAAATTGAAAGCGAAGTTGAAGAGTGAAGAAATGATAAAGGAATGAAAGAAGCTTTTAAGTTGAAGAAAATCCTCGAGCCTAGTCTCAATCAGGTTAGTTAGCTCTCCCGGCCTCTCCTTATTTTCACTTGTTGATACTTTCATTCATCAACTTGAGCTGCTTTGTATGCCACCAGAACGTATCCTATCTAGGCCCTTAAGGCTAGAATATACCCCTTTGAGATGAATGAAATACTGTACGCTGATAATTATATGGTCTGGCATGAAGCTTATAGGTGCTATTACCTTGTCAATTAAAGTAGCTAATGATGATCCATTATCATTGTAGCGGTCCGTGTCGATTACATTCTCAGTCAAAGCTGGAGCAGGTCACCGCAGCTCTGTTTACCCTCTAGTCCATTATGATGCATCGTTGTCTGGATGGGCTTAGCTTCTCGATTGGCTGCTTCTAGCAGCTTATACCTTTCCTACTATAGGAATGATATCATCTATGGTCGAGGAGGCTTCTGATTTTTCTTGCATTATACTTAAAGCAGTATGCCTCTGTATCCCCATTGCTGGTACAGCAGGAATCTTTTTTATTTTACCGATATACTCCACTTTGCCACCATTTGCGGATATTATTAAAAAGTTTCCCGGCAGCCAGGCACTACCATACATCTCAGCGTCGCCTTAGACTCACAGAACCACGAGCTTACACTTGTGGTTCAGTTCTTCTCTTCATTTAGCCCTACTTTGTGATATTAGTATAACTGTTGCCGCTCCTCGCACTACTTGGGTGTTTGCATGGGGCGAAGCAGCTCCTATGTACCATGTTGGAATACGAATTGATGACAGCTCAGGTGTTCCCCTTAATTCCCTGACACTTTTAACTACAGTAAAAATGCTTTCTCGGCCTGATAATCCTAGGGAGTACCAACGCTTTTACGGCGTTGGTCTCGTGGGGTTGATTGTTTTGGCAGCCAGCTACGCAATTCGCATTGATATTAGTCTATACTGCAAGCCGAGTGAAGTATACAAGACGAAACGGCACTGGGGTCCGGATGAGAGTACGGTGCCCAACGTCGTTGCGCTTGTCCAGATCGCATTTGAACTTGTACAATTCAACATACCAACCACCCTGCCGGCTTCTCCCGCTGCCTACCTCTGAAGGCATATGGTAGGGTGTACTTTATGTAGATAATGAACATAATTGGTATAGGTTTTGAATAAGCGTCATCTAGTTAACTAATCATCATGTATTGCAAAATGGGGTATCGGTGTAAGTGTACTATCATGTCAATAAAATCGAGCAGATATGTGATGAAAGGAAATCGTCTGTAGTAAAAGAGCGACGCGTGTAACACGCAAGATATCACAAGTTAAGGAATGATCATAATTAGCGTAAACACGGTAAGGCGTGTAAGATAAGGTCAGACTCGTGCTTCCCTGTAGACAATGGGACTCTTCTCTGCGTCATCGATAACCACAACAGCAGCCAGTCTTTTCTCAGGGCCGAATAAGTAAATTTCTCCAAAACCCAATGCTTTGACATCCGAATGAGTGGACTGTTGTCTTTCAGTGCGTGCCGAAATGATGGCCTTCCGCACCGCAACGACGATCTCGACAACGACAGCCGAGACAAAAGAGACAATAATTAATACGGCAACGATGAGTGTCCAAGCCATAATAGGACGCGCAGATAGCCAGTCAAGGAAAACCGAGAGATCGCGACTGGCAATAATATCTTCGAGACGAACCCTATCCGCATATGCAGATATCCCAAATCTCGATGGGGGAAGAGGCGCTCTTATTGATGCTGATAATGTGGTAGAGGTGAGAGTTGATGTTGATGAAGATGTTGAAGGCGCGTCTAGCTCCTTTCTAAGCGCGGGTGTCGGCAAATGGTCGGGTAAGATTGGACGCTCGCGCAGCGGCTTCTCCCGCCCTTTAGCCGAGAGTGAAAACGACAGTGAGGACGTCCATCGGTCAACGAGATACGCGTATTTCTCCAGCAGCACACTGTCACAGTCCTTGAGCATGTGGCGCGCCCTGCTGCTGGTGATAAACGAGAAGACTGTAGTGCAAGGCTGAGAATCTGCGGTAACTTGTTGAGTGCCCCTAAAGCCATCACCACCTGAGACCAGGACCGGCGCAGAGAGAGCCAGTGGGAAAACAGAAAGCCAAAGGGCAAAGTGTGCCTTCATCCTGCAGTCAGTGTTTCTAGATCCCGACAGTTCGGTTTAAAACTAGTGAGACGATCGATCAAGGCAGATTTCGGTTCCTGGGATAAGATCGTATCGGTCTGCTCCAAACTCGCAAAAGGAACAACCCTGGTAAAGGCAACTAGTTATCGGGTCGAGGCTATAAGCTCTCACAGCTTGATATGATATGATCCGCGACAGAAGCTCAACTGCCGAGTTACAAGCTTGGAATGTAGGGCGTGAAGTTGGTACTCATGCATTAACATGATTCCAGAGGGCGCGAAAGACATGAGAAAGAGACGAAGAAAAGAACACGCCTGGAAAATCAGCGGACAGACGGTGAAGATATATATTTCTCGCCTTGACCTACCCTTCGCATGCAGGACACAACTAAATCCTCAGCGATGCACGCTACGTGAGCTTGTCGTCGCTCGTCGAAGTATCTTTCATATGGCAAACACTGCTAAAGGGTACTATGGGCGCAAAAGTGTGTTTAGTTGGAGGAGAGTTTCGTGCAGCGCAACCCCCGATCCTCGCGGCGAGACAGGACGGGAGTTACTCCATGTGCCTTGGCCTGTGGGCTCGAGTGGACAAACGGATCTTTTGGCTGCGTCGGGGTATTCAGGGGGTACAAGCTTGTCCTCAAGTGTTTTACGGTGTTTTCAAGTACCTTTTTTGTACGTAAGCTGATAGCTGGTGGTACCTTATCGCGAGCGGGAAGAACAGGACGAGACGAAGGTCTGACAGGCATCTTACTACCAGGTCTTACTATCTGCGACTTGTCTGACTCTGCTTCACTCTTGGGAGTTGATCTGTTTCGACTCCTTGGATTCTCTGCTTCGGGTTTATTAACTAGCATCAAAAAAGGATATGTATTACGTAAGATATATGATAAAATATGGTCAGCTGATATTTGTCTATTAAATTCGCGATTTTTCTTTTTTCACGATAAGGAAGTAACATGTGACCGAGTCGCACATGCATTATTTTTGTATGTAAGAAGAAAACGAACGGCGATGCTCAAATCAACACACCGAGCACGAAGTATATACACCAAACACAGGGGTCAAGAAAATGGACAGATAGAAAGAAAGAAGTAGTGCAGGGGGATATATTATTAATGAAAGACTCGAGAGATTACTCCACTCGATCGAGCTTGACATCATGGATCGATATAACGTGTGGGCCGACATAGCTCTTCTGGCGGATGAGGTACCAAATGACGACGAAAACGGTCACTCCGCCAGTCATCAATGATGCGTAGTTCATCGAAGCAGCTGTCGTGGGCATGCTGAACGGGAAGCAGAAGATAACAACGAAAGTGACGATGTAAAGGCAGCTGATGAGATTCACCACATAGCCAACCCAGCCTTTCATAAAGAAGGGGCCAGGGGTGATTCCCTTACGGCCTCGCAAAAGATGAGGCAGGATGGCTGCGAGGTACGAGAGAGTAGACAGCTGCACATAGCATCCGACGAAAGCGTTGAAGGCTGTAGTCGAGCCGACATAGATGCATCCAAGTACAGTGACGATTGCAACACAGACAGCAGTGGCATTGAATGGGTTGTGATAGGTAGGATGTACCTGCCCAAGGAAGTTGGAGAAAGGGGTAGCGTTATCACGGGCCAGAGTCCAGAGAACACGGCCAGCAGTGATATAGCAGCCTATGCAGGTGATAAAGGTGGGAAGAAAAGCAATAATGAGAAGCCCAAGAGCTCCAGCTTTGGTTCCGGTGGCTTGATGGTAAATGGCTGCCAGGGGGAAGGTAGTGAAAGTTCCAAGCACAGCTTCTAGATCGTTAATAGAGTAGAAAAGAGCAATCATGTATGGAACGGCAGTGATAAAGCCAGTGACAGTTTGCGCCAGGATTGCACGCGGGATGTTCTTGCTTGGACTAAAATCGCCACGCATTAGCACCATGCTTATACATACTTTATATCGGGGCCACTCACTTGGGAATCTCCTCGGCCATATGGGAGGTTAAATCACTGGTTCCTACACTGTAAGCGCCGTTGAGCATTCCAAGCAAAAACACTAAACCATCACTGGTGTATCCAGTGGTGTTGGACCAGTTCTTCCAGACAAAGTCACTCGTAGCGAAACCTTTACCGTTGTAGCGTGGCAAGACCGCGCATACCACAATGGTAACGAATACGCCAGCTAAGATAAGGAACATGCCAATATTAGAGATGATTGGTAGGGCCCTGTTGGCGAAGAGGACTGTGAGGCAGCACATCCAGGTGCAAAGCAAGTAGCAGATGAAGACCTGCCATGCCTGCGGTGTATGGTCTGGATGGAATATCAAGTACATGGAAATGAGCTGATTTCCAAGAATAGATGATATCGAGGCTGCACCAAACAACCAGGCCAAAGCATTCCAGTATCCCGCAAACCAGCCAACTGGGCGGCCATAGCGGCCGGCGGTGGCGGAGGCCCAGTGGTACACTGCCGGAAGACGTTATATTAGTCTTCACATATACTTGTAGCTATTGATTGATGGGGAGTTGAAATATTCAGAAGCAACTTACCGCCAGCAGCAGAGGGAATAGCAGAAGCCAGCTCAGCAATTGAGGCAGAGATAAACCAGTAGAAAAAGGATACAACAATGCTATGACCATAGACGTTAACACATGCTCGCATGCACGCGCCTGGGGCGTAATTGCTTACTATTCATAGATAACTCCAGGAGGGCCGCCGTTGTAGATGGCCGTTGTCTAGACGGAAGCGTGCCAGTTAGTGTATCAGGAACCGACATTAGTGACGATTGCGGCATTTCTTGGACGCCAATGGCCAGGTAAGGCATGCAAGTGAAATGTTTCCAGAAAAGGGGAAGGCATGGACTTACAACACTCCCTCCCATGGCAATCCAGGTGTTTCCAGCTGTGACGCCAATAGCGCACATACTGATCAAGCTAAAGTTGCGATCAAGCTCTTGCTTGTGGCCCGACGAGTTTATCATCGGGTCTATACCTGGTGAAGCTGGTGACTCGGTTGCTGTAACCGTAGCGCCAACCTCTTTCATCTTCTCATTTGGCGATGCCAGAGGCGATGCCAAAGGCGATTCGAGCTGCTTCTCGGATTCGGACATTGTTGTTGCCCAGATTCAAGCGTGCAACGAATACTCCGTACGCCACCCGAGTTTTCTAGCAGCCTTCGATAGTCGACAACAGGCGAAAGGCTTCCGGAGGCTTGGATGGTGTCCAGAAAGCCGCGAACAGACAGCAATGGATGAATGGAAGAGAAGGACACAGCGGAAGAACGGAAAAAGGAAATATTAGTAGATGTAGAAAGCGCAGAAGATAGCCTGGAATTTGTTTGTTGGAATAAACTGCTGGGGTAGGAAGCGCAGGACCAAGTTTCCCACGTCGAGGCAGGAAGACTTAAATTTCGACCTGGGTGCCAGCCCAGGGAATTCGACGAGAAAGATTGAATATAATGCTTTTCTGATGGTCAAAATGTCGTACAAAAACGTGGCGTTGGCGTCTTCTAGAAGACAGGGCAATCCCTAGAATTATGCAGACAACAGGCAGGGAGTGTGCCTGGGTTAACGACGAATGAAACCCCAAGGAGGGCGTGAAAGTCCACTGCAAACACTCGACTTTTCCCGGATCGAGTAGGAAACCCGCTATCCATGAATATGCATCACAGGTGTACTTCCAGCCTAGCTGCAAATCAGGCCAGAGTACGGCGTACGCCGTGGAGGTAACTAAGTACTTAGCGTACAAGCATTCTCGGCTCGCCAGTCTTGGAGGGGAAGTAATAAGGCCCCGCTGGACATGGGGGAAGCAGCATGTCCCCATCTCCATGCTTTCTGTGGAGGCGAGGGATGGTCCAGCGTATATACATATGAAGCGGGTGGAAGTATCGGCGACTTGATAACAGGACCCTTAACCTAGCGCGCTCGTCATGATTGGCAGAAACCCACGGCCTAGTTGATTTAAGGATTAGGGTGGTTCCATTTCGCGAGTGGACTTTCGTGGGCAGAGTTCTTGTCCCGTTGTCCAGTCCCCTGATTTCTCTCCGGATGCATTTGCGAGAGAGAAGAAAAAAGCAAAGAACGCACTTAAGTACTTAGTACTGCACTTCGTATATGCAAGTGAATTGTGGCTTCTTTTGGTGCTGATAGACTCTCGAGGCGCAGAAATTTGGCGTTGAGCAGGCTGGAGGATGCACCTCTCGTTGGTGGATTCTTTTCTTCGAGTCCCTGGAAAGCCATCTCCGGGTGGTCGACCTTATACATATATATGTGATGCAAAGAAAAGTCCATATAGGTAGGGTATCTTCTGCATATCCAACGAACCTAGTGAGACATATATGTCTGTCCCTCTTGATGAAGCGAACTCCATCGACACCTCATGTTCATTTCGGTATATCGCCTTTTTAGTCCTTGGTACGCTGTGCCGTGCAGCCTATACAGTGCCTCCATATTGTAATAAAATGGCCAATATATGTTATACACCCGATGTTAGGTGTGAGTCGGCTGTAGTACTGCATAATACCCGACTCTAAGCAACGGCATGGCGCCCACGAGCTGCGTTTCAACCTTATCAGTATAAGATGTTCACGTCAAGTCATCTGGATGAAACATAAGCATGGTCAATCATGTCTGGCAAGCTTCTGCTGGGTGAGATTCTCGCAGTGCCCCTTTCTTTTTTACACTTGTTTTAGTGAATATCAGCCATCGCGCATAGAGGCTACCGTTATCGTATTGACAGGGCGCTAGTCCATGCAAGATAGCCTCTGGCCCTGCAAACAGGCTCACGAAGTTTCTGTCACAAAAAATCCAAAGTGGCTGCTCGGCATATACATACTTTTTATCGATGCACGGAGCAAACCGTGGATAAATTCTCCTCTCCACCTGAGGAAGGGAGAAAAAAAAAAAAAGAGGCCCCTCAAACTCCACGTAATCACGACTTGCCGCAACACTCTTTTTAACCCCTTTGGGATCCTGATGGAAGCAGTGGATGTTCTGGCCGGCAAGCCACCCGTATCCGCTGTGCTGACAGTGCTGTTCTATTGGATGGCTATATTTTCTGGTTTCACACCCGACTGGTCCCCCTAGTCGTGGTTATCGAGGCGCGAGCTTGTTCTATATATACAGACACAGAGCCTTCTGAGATGGCGCTTTTTTGTTCTTGCATTTTGCCTCCATCTCGATCGGTCGGGCTTGCAAGGTGTGGCTTGTACAATTAGCGAGACGTTTTTTCTCGAATCGAGATGTCAAAGGCTCTTATCGGGGGTGCTTGAACTAAAACTAACTTGCTCTTGCGAAAGCGACAAACTAAAGGACAGAGCAGGATCTTCGTACGTACCCACGACAACGCCCCTGAAAATTTATCAACATCCTTCGCTTCCCTGCCAGTTCTCCAAATGAGCCCCTGGGCCTTCATTGGTCCCTCGAATGTCATCGAACCTTAATAGAGAGACGATGTAAATCTTGTAGGCTCTGTTCCCCTAAATAGTTGAGGGGGTTCGGTGCTTTTGTCCAGCACAAGCGTTCGAGCTGCATGCTCTTCGTTTAAAAAAGCCACGATTTTTTGGTTAGGATAACTGTCAACCATAGTTAGTGTCCTACCAACCCTGGGGCATCCCAAGATGGGCTAATTAGTTGTCCCCTGGGCGAGCAGCCAATCCCTACCGTACGGATGCTGTCAAGCTAGGACATACCCCATAGGGTGCAAGGGGAAGGGATGAAGTGTCCAGGTTAATGTAAATTTGTATATATATTAGAAGTATTCCAATCACCCTGTCACAGTTATTGAGCACATGCACGAAAATTCCAGTGGACTGGGTTCGGCCGGAAACCTGACTGCTTATCCAACAGTTTAGCCGTAAGGGCAGAGGGAAGAGTGGATATTTATCATACCGTTGTGGCCTCTCCCACAAGTTCGATACATCATCAGCAACAATGTCTTCGCTGGATACCTCATATGCAAGCGGCTTTCAGAAGGAAACATGGACCTTGTATTCTTTCGGAATTTTGGTCTTGGTCCTACGAACGTAAGCTCTTCTGTTGATGTCGTCTCATACTCTAAGAATTAGCATGGACTAACGTATAGGGTGATTTCTTGTTGACAGGATTGCTCGAGTGAGACGACTAGGGCTAGGTTCGCTACAGTATGACGATTATCTGATGGTAACGGGAGGCATATGGTACACCTTGCTATGCATTTCCTTAAATGAAGTGGTCGCCGTTGGCGGCTCGAATTTGATGACCGAGGAGGACATAAGGAACCTCACTCCAGAGATCAAGGCGCTGCGTGTCAAGGGCAGCAAATGGGTGTTTGTTTCAGAACATGCGTTTGTGATGACCATTTGGACGTTAAAGGCATGCATGATCATATTATATCGCCGCATAATGTAAGGATCTGGCCGACCGCGTTAAATGGAATGGAGGAGTCAACTTTTGCTAACAGGCGCTTGTTTCAACAAACAGGGAAGGATTGAGCCAGCAGCGCCTGGTGAAATATCTCACCATCTGGGTTGCCCTCGGATTCGTCGGTTCAGAGCTGGCTCTCTTCTTAATCTGCCGACCTTTACCAAACTATTGGGCTGTTCCCACTCCTGACTGTCAGTTTGAAATCGAAGATAATCCGCAGGAGTGTTGCGCAAAGATACTAACACTTTGTGATTAGATCAATGCTCGTCTTACCAATACTATGAGATCATCCAAGGGGTGCTCGCCATCTCATCCGACATTCTCATGCTGGTTATCGCCATTCCACTTCTGATGGCCGTGCGACTACCCCAGAAGCAAAAGCTGATTCTCGTCTTCATTTTCGGGCTGGGTATTTTCATTATCATCGCAGCAATTTTGACCAAGGTGTACTGTCTGGTACCATCCTTGATCTCCTATGTGTACCTGAACTGGTACTTTAGAGAAGCCACCGTTGCGATGCTTGTCACCTGTCTTCCAATGACATGGTCCTTGTTAAGAGACATATTCCCAGCCCTTAAAAGCTGGACAGGCGGATCACGACAATATGAAACAGGAAAAGTTACCACCGGACGCAGAACAGGCTCGCGGCCTCCTTTCCAGTCGACAAAGGACCACATGCAACTGAACTCCTTTAGCCGCGGTCAGTTTTCCCACGGGAATACCACTGAAAGTGATATAGGATACGAGTCTAGCCACGGACTACCACACGGCCATGGCACCAAGTATCAAGACGACAAAGGCGACGCCGAACCCCTGAAGTCGATACACGTCCGTCAAGATGTTACCGTGACGGTACAAGATGAGCGGGACAGTGACGAGACACTGTCTGGCAGCTATCCCAGACATCAAAGAAAAGCTGCAGGCTGGGATCTGGCATGAAACTGCCAGATGAACCTCTCAGCATAATATACAGAACCGCCTGTTAGGTGGCTTTTCACGGCTTTATACCCCTGATTGGGAGGATGGTGCGGTAACGGCGTTTCTTTGCTTATTGGTCGCGATGTTTTCATTGGGTTTATGATTCAGGTGGTATTTCTTACGTGTCCTTATAGTAATGATAGATAAATAAAAGATTTTAATCGATGTCAACGCTCTTTTGCTTCGCAAAATCCATCATTGATTTTGAGGTTGATGTTCAAAGACTACATGTACGATATTGTTACGGAGTACTTTGTGGTTGTATCAGATTTTACAAGAATCGTATGTATTATTCATTTTTTATTGGCTAATCGCTGTAAGTATAATATAATATGGTACTACGCTTAGTAATTAAATCATACAATAAACTAGTCCTATACAGGCAATGTTTTGCTTAGTCAGTTTCACTTAAATCATATGACATTGATATAACAAGCTGTAAATCATGTGAATGTCGTGATGAGGCCCTGGCCAATGAACGATCGTCGCTCTTGATAAAGTTATCGAACTCCGAATTTTCTGGGGAGCGTCAATCATTGATCGACAAAGTAAATCATGCTTGTTTTATGTTGATTATATATATATATATATACTGTTTGGAGTCCAGTACAGATCGTGCATCTTACCATACAAGATGGCGGAAATGAAATATCGTGTGTTCAATAATATTCATGTCATTCTACTCCGTAACTAGTTCCAAGGTGAAAAGACGGGAAATTCGATCTGAGGTATTCCACAGAAGGTCTGCTCCGTAGGGGCTACGAAAATGAGAGAACCGCAAGTCACCCGACCCGGTACTCTGTGTCCGGCTGGTCAGCCAGGCAGAAAAATCTATAGTAGTTCACAGTTATAGTGAAGGGAATAGTGCAAGTTTTCCCGTTTCGTGTCCCAGCTCAATGGTTCACATATAACTGGCAGGTAGATAAAACAGGACGAACGGTTTCTCCAGCGAAGGTGTTCCCGGCTTAAAGAGGTTTTCCGTATTTAAAAACCACCTTGTATTTGGATATACTCTGTATGGAGCATGGCTTTATCATCGATCGGACAAAGGTACTCCGTACCCTATATGGAGTACGCGAGAGCAAGATGCTTTGTTACAATGCCAATTCTGAGGCTCAATGCATCCTTCGTAAAACTCGTTCTCGGGCATTTTATCCAGTTATAGCCCGCGGGTATCAAGACGGAGGACGGAGGACTGAAAAATGTTGGCTCCCTTGGCATGACAACAACCCTGTCCACTTCCCGCCCAGTGTAACCTTGGGTGGACAAGATCCCTGCGTGTCAAGATGGATATACCTGGATGCGTCGGGGAGACCTCCTTTTTTTGCCCCGATGGTAAACCCGTCAGCAAGCCAGGGGCAAAAAGAGGATGGTGTTCTGGACGATCTTAGGGGAAGGAGGGATGATTATTATGAGAGGAAACATCGTATCGTGGGATGTGATGTAGATCATTATTATCATGTCGAATGGAAACCATGGACATCGCTTAGGTATATAAGTAGATCAGGACAGCATCATCTGTCTTTTTCTCTTCTTGATTTCAACGGTTGTTTGCTCGATACCCACCTCTTCGCGTTGCTGCACACCCCTTTTTCTAGGCCGCGGGAGGTCACAGCAGGCATCATCGCTGTCCGAAGTACGTATTTGGAATATAGACTCCGAGGAAGTGCTAGGCCGCTCGGATGCCCACACACTCTGACTAGAACAGGCCATATTTCCACCTTCGACACCTCCGGTACCCTCCTCCATTTCGAAGGGGACGGAGGGAAACTGCACTGGAGATATAACTGGCGGGACTTATAGGAACGTTCAATCTCCCCTGCATTACCACGGAGATTCTAACTGGATGCGGGGCACCGACGGGGACGCCTGACTGCCTGGCTGCCTGCTTATGCCAACGCTGCAAGGGTAAGCGGTGGGCTGCCTTGAGATTACCTACAGGAAGAGGACAAACAAGAAGAAAGAAGCAAAGATGTTGATAATTATAAACCGACGCGGCTCTGCGCAAAACGTCCATTGGGAATGTGCCCGGGCCATCCGGGATAAGGTTGTTCCCTTCCTTCGCCCGAAAAGCGGGTCCACCGGAGGCTGCGACGCCCTTTCAACGACGTCGACATCAAAATGAAATAACGTAACATCACTAACTGCCAACTAAGGAATAACAAAGACACACCGGCCGACCGCAGCGCCGGCAACGAGCACGACAGTGTCGATACCAATAGCAGCCTTGTAAGGTGGGCTGGATGCGGGTTGCCACCAACAGCAATATACCCCTGGCCGCCCATGACCAAACTCGCGGAAAGAGACAGCCATAGATTGCCGTTAGCGAGCCAGTCAAGCTGATGATAGGCTAGCCTCGCAATGCAGGGCCACTGTTTCCACCCATGGTGGGAGATACAGCCATGCCTAGAAGGGAAGAAAGCGGAATGCTGTTCTGGTTGCCTGCTTTCCTGCAATGCAACCTTCCGTACCTGACATCATTTACAACCTTGCCGCTATCCGTGTCCAGCGGATCACACGGTGCCTGGTTCCTGGTGAACTGCCGCCGATGGGCTCCGCCCATGGAGTTTCAATCTAACGGTTGCGCTATCCATTTCGAGTCTGTTGATTCTCAGGCTCTCAAACTCAAAGCGTGAACTCGCTAGAGGTTGATCACTTGCATATCACTCCGAGACCAGTTATTGCCATCCCCATTGTATGGAGATAGGGCCCACGTTTTGGGCAACGGTCAACTCCAATTGCGCTAGGATATATGCTGGGACATGTCCCACCGTGACCATTGTTACTCACATGTTCTAACATCGCAGCGTGGATATTCGTGCATGGAATGTTTAATTACACACCTCCGTCGGTGATACCCCTGAATGTGACACCGATTAACGTGGTGGCACTGGTTCTTTTCACATCAATCCATACCCATGAGCGCAATATCCATGTTACTATTATCCTCCAGTCTACGAGTCAAGCGATGTAGACATAGTGAGTCGGAGGCTCAATTAGGCTAACCCCTACTTGGCTGCAAACTCACTCTCTTTCTGAGAGTTTGCCTTGGCAGCCTTCTCTTGAGATATAACGTAGCCATGGTCCTGATTCAGTTCCTCATGGGTTGTATCTGCCTGTTGCCATTCGGCCCTACCCAAACTGCTCGCAAGCCCTTGGCTCGCGTCCATTCATTGCAGTCAATCTTGACTTCACATTCATTCCATCGAGACTGTGTTCTCAGTGTCGTTCCTTCTGCTGAGCTCTGAGCCTTCGTTGTTCCAATATATACCTTCGTTTCTTCTATATATCTACTGTCGTTCGCGATTGAACAGTCATTCCTTCCATATGGCTATCACCAAGATCGTCACGGCATTTATTGCCTTTATCACACTCCTGGTGTCGATTGCTGCCGCCCTAGATGTGTCCTCCACAACCAACGTGGTCACCTATTGGGTAAAATTTGACCTGTATCCCTTCTAAGGAATCTTTACTAAGTATACATGCACTTATAGGGCCAAGGCCACGATCAACAACGTCTCTCATACTATTGTCAACAACCCGAGCACGATATCATTGTTATTGGCTTTGTTAATGTTTTCCCTGACCAAGGGAAAGGTGGTTGGCCAGGAACGAACTTTGGAAACCAATGCTGGAAAGGCACCTATACAACCCCAGAAGGTGAAGAAACCGAGCTATTGGATTCGTGCTACAACATTATAGCGGATATACCCGTTTGCAAAGCAGCAGGAAAGACTATTTTGCTTTCTCTGGGCGGTGAATCTAAGGATGGCCCTCAAACCTATAGCGTCAAGAGCAGAGAATCCGCCATTAAATTTGCAGATTTCCTTTGGGGTGCCTTTGGACCAGTTTCTCCTTCTTGGGAGGGGCCCCGGCCCTTTGGTGATAATGTCGTTGATGGCTTTGATTTTGATATTGAAGTGAATGGCGGTGCAAGTATGTTTGGACTTCCTTACCCTATCCCACTACCTTAACATTCCACTGACCCCTTTTACCCCATAGACTACCAGTACATGGTCGAGCGCCTGCGAAGCAAGTTTGCCACTGATCCATCAAGACAATATTACCTATCTGCCGCCCCTCAGTGCATTCTTCCTGATAGAAATCTCGGCGGCGTTATCAGCAGCTCAGCTTTCGACTTTATTTTCGTCCAGTTTTACAATAACCCCCTTTGTTCAGCATTTAACTGGGCGCAAAATCCTTCGAAATCTGGTTTCAATTTTGACGCCTGGGTTCAGTTCATTCGCAAGGGCGCAAGCCGCAATGCGAAACTCTTCATTGGCCTTGTTGGTGATCAAAAAAGAGTAGTACCACACGGAGAATATACGAAGGATGACAAGAACTATCTCTCGCTTCCAAACGTTGAAAAGCTCATCATGACATTTATGAATAAATATCGTGCCAACTTCGGTGGCATGATGATCTGGGATGCTCAAACCTCGGAAGAGAACAAACTTGTTCAAGGGGGGTATGCTTCGAATATCAAGAGATCGCTTCTTAAATACGGCCCTCCCAGACCAACAACTACCTCTAAGACTACGAGCAGCACCAAGACTTCCACATCCATGCCTACATCGAAGACTACCATGATGACCACTTCAAAGTCTTCTACCTCGAAGAGTTCTTCATCCACTAGGTCCACCCCCACGATGACCACCTCAACCAAGGCTTCAACTACTATGACAAGGTCTTCCACCCAAATGACCTCGTCCACAAGGCCCAACCCTACCCCATCTACTTCGTCAACCACAGCTACCTCTAGCACTCCAACGCAAACAAGCGTGACGTCTATCACTGTTACAGGCGTCCCAGGCACTGGCACTGGAACTGGAACTGGAACTGGAACTGGAAACCCAACCATCACTGCCACTCCAATGTATCCAAATACCACATCTACTACTGATGGAACAGAGACCCAGACGAGCTCAACCTTCATTACTACTACTAGTATATGGAGCTCTGGCACTGGCACTGGCACTGGCACCGGAATTCCCACAATCACCACCACTCCAAGATACCCGAATACTACTTTCACAGGCATCACGACTAGAACTTTTACTTCTTCTACGCAGCAATCATCTGACATAACCTTGTCTATTCCCAACCCATGCCACAACGACACCCAGACATCTGCTATGACCATTTCTACGCCAACCGGTATAACAGCTCCTCTGTGCATCATCGCCTGAAATGACTATATCTGGGCC